CTATTTATATTCTAGCTAAACTAGAACTAGACATCTTTATATTCTAGTTAAACTAGAACTAAACATCTTTATATTCTAGTTAAACTAGAACTAGACATCTATATATTCTAGTTAAACAAGAACTAGACATCTTTATATTCTAGTTAAACTAGAACTAGACATCTTTATATTCTAGTTAAACTAGGGCTAGACATCTTTATAATCTAGTTAAACTCGAACTAGACGTCTTTCTATTCTAGTTATACTAGAACTAGACATCTTTCTATTCTAGTTAAACTAGAACTAGACATCTTTATATTCTAGTTAAACTAGAACTAGACATCTGTATATTCTAGCTAAACTAGAGCTAGACATCTTTATATTCTAGTTAAACTAGAGCTATACATCTATATATTCTAGTTAAACAAGAACTAGACATCTTTATATTCTAATTAAACTAGAACTAGAGATCTTTATGTTCTAGTTAAACTAGAACTTTTCATCTTTATATTCTAGTTAAATTAGAACTGGACATCTTTATATTCTAGTTAAACTAGAACTAGACATCTATATATTCTAGTTAAACAAGAACTAGACATCTTTTTATTCTAGTTTAACTAGAACTAGAGATCTTTATATTCTAGCTAAACTAGAACTAGACATCTATATATTCTAGTTAAACTAGAACTAGACGTCTTTATATTCTAGTTAAACTAGAACTAGACATCTTTATATTCGAGTTAAACTAGAACTAGGCATCTTTATATTCTAGTTAAACTAGAACTAGACATCTTTATATTCTAGTTGAACTAGAACTAGACATCTATATATTCTAGCTAAACTAGGACTAAACATCTTTAAATATTCTAGTTAAACTAGGGCTAGACATCTTTATATTCTAGCTAAACTAGAACTAGACATCTTTATATTCTCGTTAAACTAGAACTAGACATCTTTATATTCTAGTTAAACTAGAACTAGACATCTATATATTCTAGCTAAACTAGAACTAAACATCTTTATATTCTAGTTAAAGTAGAACTAGAAATCTTTATATTCTCCCAATTCCTAGCTCCTAGAATACAATATTAGCTCTTAGTAACTAAGTACTTTTATTAATACTCCCTAACTTCTAGAATACAATATTATCTCTTATATACTGTGCACTTTTATTAATACTCCCTGACTCCTAGAATACAATATTATCTCTTATATACTGTGCACTTTTATTAATACTCCCTAGCTCCTAGAATACAATATTATCTCTTATATACTGTTCACTTTCATTAATACTTCCTAACTTCTAGAATTCAATATTTTCTCTTATTTACTGTGCACTTTCATTAATACTCCCTAACTCCTAGAATACAATATAAATTGTTTGTATATTGGTTGAATAACCTCAATACTGATTGCTATAATCACTAATCAGTGGCCTTGTCTTGTTTTCAGTGTAGGGGGGGGGGGGGCAGGGGGTGGATTGTTTCAGGTAATGACCCCCCTCCCCGTTGTTTCCTCCACTAATCACTAAATGTCCTTGGTGTTAAATGCATTATCTAAGTCTAAAATTGTTTCCTATTTGTGCATGTTCATGATTTAAAAATTGTTTATTGGAATGTTTCTCGTTTTAAGGATTAATTAGGTTTGTTACTATTTTGAGTTATTTCTTATCCCCCCCCCTCCGCATTGTGGTTCAGTAAGAATAAATAATTTATATATTTTTTTCTTTTTAATGACCAGAAATGCACTATTGGTATTTAGTTTGTTAAAATTACAAAATAATTTTGCGTTCACGTTGCCTTTTTACCAACATTTTAGCGACAGCTATGATTATTGCTATTTATTGTCTTGTTTTTTTAACTTTTTTCAAGTTCGCTTTTATTTAACTTTGAAATATTTTAATACTAAAATAAATTAGAAAAACAATCGGAATAAATAAACAATGATCGTTTTCGGATCGTTATTGATGGTTAGCTTGTTTTGCAATATATTTTCTGACAAAGTGTAAACAAAGCAAATGTTTTGTTTAAACTGTTTTAAAACCTTTTCTGTTATTACACTATGCCAAATTATGACCTTGAAAAAAAAATTTGACAAAAAACAGACCAAAAACCAAGATCAACCAAACAGATGGATGTAAAGTTACTTTACTTTCCCACGGTGCAATTAAGTAAAATAAGTGTTTGTAAAAAAATTCTCGCATTTTCATCTCAAAGTTGTGCACAGCTACTTTATGGGAAATTTGTTCCGTCCTTTTAGACAAAAAAGCAATAACAAATATAATAATTTAATTCTCAGCAATAATAATAAAAACCTCATACGTAGGGTTGCTAAACTTTCGTTCAATCTTTTTCTAAACGTTTTGATAAGCCATGCAAAAATAAGGTTCCAACTTCTAGTCATGTCGTTTGGGACACCTTGCATATTTTATCAAAAATTCATTTTCGATATTGGACATAATCTTCACTTAATTTCGCGAAAATTTCGCTAAATTTGTGTGGCAAACATTTTTTTTTCATTTTTACTAAGGCATTGAGTCTTTGCCACGTGATTAAGTTGCTAATCCCTGCATCTTTAGAACCTGATGAGCTTAACTTAAAGTATAGCGCTAATTATATAACAAATATGTAGCCCTGAAACAGAGTGTAAGCACAGGTATCTTAGTTACCATAAGGAAAAAAGAATCAGTCAACAATCAATTTGATTAAAAAGATTGATAGAAGAAAAACTAATAACATACTTTCCATTGAAAATCAGTAAAAAACCAAGGATAGAGTTAATAAGGTTTTCACTTTTAACTTGTCTTTCCCAATAGCTGGATTGGGGTGTTTCTGTGAATGCGTAAAACAAGATACAGTAATGAGATGTATGTACATTAATTACTATTAAAATCATTTGCACCCATTTCAAATAATCAAAATGAAAAAATACTTTGTTCAGATTCAGATATTTAATGTTCAGTATATAGTATTTGTATATTTTGAGACTGTGATATACGATCTCTAAATGGTTTTAAATTTGATAGCTTTTAGGAATTGAATATGAAACTATTGTCTATCATACTGCAGGTACAACTGGTAGCCATAATAAAATAAAAACGCCATCAAGAAGTCTAAAAAAAAAAATTTAATTTATTTTATGACTATCAGTCTTCATCCTCATCTAGTTGTTATGTGTTCTTGTTTCAAATGTTTACAAAAATTTAGATTCATCTATGTACATTGTTTTGCTGGACATGGAATTTACTATTTATAATTTGGTTTTTAAATTTCATTTTTTTAAATTAAATATATGATTCAAATAAAGGATTATAGATTACCTTGTAATGGTTTTATTAAATAAGTATAATTTCTTAGAACTCAACAGTCAAAAAAAAATTCAGTTGCAAACCTTGCCATGTTGGATGTTTAATAATAATTCTTCAATTATTTTTTTTAACCCTATCTCCGCTGGGGTACTTGAAAACCAGGATACGCTGGGGGGGGGTCAATTTGACCCCCCCCCTCTAAATCCCATGTTTTATGTCCAAATATGACAAATGATACATCATTAGAAAGCTCTTGTGCTCTACTTTTAGAATCTGCAAAAAAATTTGCAAATTTGCGAAAATTGAATTTTTTATCGCAAAATCCAGTTTTAAAGTAAAAATGTTTGCAAAAAAAAAATTTGTCCAAAAAATGACAAATTATACATTTTTGAAAAGCCCTTGACCATGCCATTTTAAATATGCAAAAATTTTTGCAAAATTTTAAATAACCTGATTTTTAATCAAGAAAAACTAAAAATGTGCAAATTTCCTTTGACAGGTTGTTTGCAAAAAATTTGCAATTTTTTTTTTCGCAAAACTTGTGCAATCCGTTTTCTTATGTCATAGGCTTTCCAAAAAGCTAAATTTTATCAAAATCTGACAAGTGAAAGTGGGTCAAAACAAAGATTTAGTTTGCTACAGGCAAAAGCAGTCATTCAGGCAGTGTGCCTGAGGACTCAGGCAGTTAGTATTAAAGCCCGGTTTTAGGCCTAAAGGGAGGGCTTTGGGTATGTAAGAAAAGTATGAAAATTTCAACAGCCTCAGACCAATACTTTTTGAGTTATGTAAAAAAAACTACAGGGGGGGGTCAAATTGACCCCCCCCAGCGGGAATAGGGTTAAATTCCAAAACAATATCATCTGCATGTATCGATGGATACATGCAGATGATATTGTTTTACTTTCTCCCAGCCCTTCTGTAACTTTTTCAAAAGAAATGAGTTCAAAGTTCAGTACCAATCCAATTATAGAAAAATCATAAAATAAATGTATTCTATTAAATAAGGAAAATTTTATTACTGACCTATTATTTTAAATTGACAACAACTTTTATGTGTCAGTGAAATAAAAAATTTGAGAAACATTTTGAAGATAGTTTGTGATTTCTACGGATCCCAATTATGGGACTTTCACAGCATATAATTTAAAATTATATAATTCACAGAATGTTTCCATTCAAATTTTATTTGATATTCCCCGAAATGCTCATAGATACCTTATTGAACCTATTTCAAGATGCTTGCAAATAAAAACATTATTAGTGAGCAGATTTGTTGCCTTTTCTAAAAGAATGAGCAGTACAAGTAAGCCAAGCATTTGTTTACTTTATAATTTGTTTTAAAATGATCAACAAACAGTTTTATGTAAAAATCTAAATACAATTGCAGATGATTGTAATGTGTTAGTGGACAGTTTGTCTGAAGATTTTGTTAAACAAAGTTTAACGTTTTCAAAGTTACCAGATGATCAGAACTAAAAAATACCTCTCATTTATGAACTGGTAGATCTAAGATTAAACAATTTTTCCTATCATGAATTTAATGATATAATTTGTTTATTTTTATGTACTGACTAACAAGTGATATTCTATATTTACATATTTGTTTAAATTATGCCTTTGTCTTAATTTACTGTACCATTTTTTGTGTGCAAAATAAACTTTAATAATAATAATAATAGTTTTAAACTTTTAACCAACTCTAAGCATGAACTTGTTTGATACTATTATGGCTTTATTATACAATATACATATGCTCTAAATTCTAACAAGAGATGTGCATAAAGATTTTCTCCACCAAATCTTGAGTTTTTGAAAGAAAAGCCCCCGAGTCCCACTTGACATATTTACACAATTTTATTTTCTATTTCTCCGATATGTTCTATACCACAGATCACAGTGTCGCCTGCAGCTAGGACCTCACAACCAGAATATAGAAGAGTAGGAGTAGGGGAGAGACAGGAATATAAATTACAGATTACAGTTACACAAAATAAAACATAAAAATAAAAGAAGATCAAATAAAATTTGAGGGGGTTTAGAATAACAAGGGTATATATTTTGAAAGATTACTCCCTGCCTGCAACTAGGGGGAGGAGGGAGTTATTTTAAATGCTCTTGGGGAGGGGTGGGGGGCGGAAATATTTTAAAGGCTGTGATGGGAAAGGGGGCCTTTTTAAAAATGTTATTCCAATTAAAAATAAATGTAACCCTTAAACCATTTAGTTTTCCCTTTTAAGCTAAAAAAAATCCTGAAAAAGTGTTAATCTCTGTATCCAGGTTTAGATACAGTGAAACCCTTAATAACGAATACAGCGAAAGAATTCATCAAATGTCGTATTCTTCACTTTCTGATAATGGAATGTTGCAGATATTTAGTTTTTTAATTAAATGATTATATGGAACTCTTTAAAACTGTTCCCGCATATTCAGGGCTATTTATTTATTTTCGCAAATACTGAAATTTACGAAATATAGTATAAAACTCATTAAAAATTGTCAAGACAACATTTGACAAATTCTTCCGATGTATTCGTTATTAAGGGTTTCACTGTATGAATGGCATAATCCTTTATTTATTTCTAAGAGAGAAAGTTTGCTTTACTTATTTGGTATTTTTTCCACTGAAAAAATAACAAAAAATTACCTATTATTGCCATGTATTGTAATTAACAAGAAATAAAATGAAAATATTTAAATTTTCTTTTTAAAATGATTTTTGAAATATGAAAGAAAGGTTTAAATATTAAAATTCATTTTGTGAGGTTTCCTTTTTGGATGAATTCTTGAGGGTTCTTGAATACTCCAACTCCAGGGGGGGTTCCAGTCAGGATCAAATCCCCTAGGTTTTAAAACAGGGTGTTACTTTTAAATACTTTTGCTTCAGGGTGTCATTTTAGAATTACTTTTTTAAACAGGGTGTCTTTTTATATTAAAATTTTTGTTTCAGGGTGTCATTTTAGAAATACTTGTTTACAACAGGTTTGTGTTTACACATATTGTTTATATAAAGTTTGACTCCATTTTTTTGTTACAGGGTTTAATTTTTATAACTAATCATTGTAACAGGATGTCTTTGAATATGCTATGTTTCAAATTTAATGGTATTATTTATGAATTATTTTGATTTCACATCCATGCATGAGAAAGTAAAATTGGCTTGTTAGCATATGAGGTTGTTTAACCCTATCCTGTTTGGGCTATTTTTGTCTAATATTGTCGGGGGTGGGGGTGTTTTCCCCCCCCCCCCCATGATTTTGGGGTTGTGATAGGGGAGTGTGATACATGTCGCAAGTTCTATTTAGAATTTCCTTCTCATTTAAAAAAATTAGACTTCTAACTTTAATGTTTAGGGAGTAAGGAAGGATTTTTAAAAAAGTATGTCAAAAATTTTTTTTTTTAAAGTTATTTTTACTTTTGACAAATATTTACATGTAATGATGTGACTCATGTTATTATATCCATTTTTCAAGGGCTTTATAAGCATATAAGTTTTAGCCCTGTAGCTTTATTAATAAAAAAGTTATTATTTATTTTTGAACCCGCCGTTTGACCATCCTACACCCTACCCTATGCATTAAAAAAAAAATTGGCAAAATTTGTTTAAAACTATCAAATTGAAAAAGTGAAGAAGTTTCATTTTTCTAATGTTATTAAGCTATTCAGAAAAAAAAACATAAGGGGGGATGGAAAACTCTCCCCCCCCCCCCCAACAAGAAAGAGTAAAGGGACGGTAGGTAAGAAAGGGCAGTTTTCAATATTCTAAAAAACAAACAGATCGTTTCTAAAAAACAAACTGATCGTTTCTAAAAAAACAAACTGATCATTTGAGTAACCACAAAAATGTATAAATTTAACAACTTCAAAAAGGTTCTTCAGCCTTGATTAGATTTTAAAACGAAATAGGTCCGCCATAACCCTGTAGAAAAATGTGACATCCCAAAAAGGAAAATTCTTTAGCGAATTTAACCAGTATTCAGGCTTTAACTCAAACATATAATCATAAGATTTTGAGGTCGTGATTAGGGTTGGCAGTGAACAAATGTTTCGCGAAAAAAATGCAAAAATTTTCATTCGTATTTTGCAAACTTTTTCGCAAAATTTTGCATTTTTCGCGAAAATGAAAAAAGCGAAAAATTCAAAAATTTACAAAATTTTGCAAAAAAAAATGTACAAAATTTTGCGAATCGATTTTTCTTTTCGCTGCAAACCCTAGTCATGATTAAAGTCTTATCCTTTGTGGAAAAGCTTTGTACCTGGTAACAGGGTAAAGAACTTTGAAACCCAAGATACAATCTGAGGAACGTTGAAAACCATCTCAGAAGTTCTAGAATTCTGAAAATATTAATGTTTTATCTTTTATTTGTGAATCTTTATTAGCATATTTGCACTTTCTGAAAGGGACTTGCAGGAGTAGTTTCATTTGTATCCGATTCACACCGGTACTATTTAAAACACTAGAAATTCAAGGCGCTTCGCGCCCTTCTTTCTAGCCTTAGAGGGCGCTTCGCGCCCATCTCCTAAATTAATTGTGAACATGTTCTCTTTGTGTACATCGTAAAACAAAACAAAAATAATTCGCGGATTTTCACAAAAAATTTCGTNTCTTTAACCTAAAATATATACAGTAAAGGGATTCTAAATAACCTAATCAAGTAAAAAATACACTGAAACATACAATAGTTATTCATCAGGAATAAACCTAATCATGTTTGTTTTCAGTTTGGAAGTCCGGTGGATTTTTAGATAAAACAACTTTAGATCAAAAGTAAAGATAACTTTCTTTACCAGAGCCCACAATTTAAAAACTTCGGCTCAGGCCGTAATTCCTTAAACCCGACTTTAAGACCCAATCTTCGACCCAATTCTGAACAGCTTTGTGTTACATGATTGACAACTGCAAGATCTTCGGCTCAACTTAAGGAGTTAAGCCCAATGAAAATATAACCGACCTTGCAGTTGGTTCTAGTGGAGAATAAGGCTCAATGTTGAGTCTTGGTCTCATAAAACTTGGAATGCGCCAATGCCTATCATGAAAATCCGCCAAATAGAATATTAAACCGGTTTTTAAACTCAACTTTAAGCTGTAAATAAGGCCCAACGACAGCTTAGACCCGAGTCGTATTTTCCCAAATATTTTAAATCGCGGGCTCAGAAATCCCGAGAACCATTTATCTGGGAAATTTTACATTCAGGGCATCAGGGTCAATGTCATGTAAAGACGACATGTCTTAGAACATTAAAGAAATAAAAAAGATAAAAAAATTTCAAAGGAATCCATAATTTTGTGGAATTAAAAGAGGTTTTAAATTATGATGTTAAATAGTCCAATAAACATGAAACACCGAAACTACTCAGTGTACACACAGAATAAAGATACCCACATTTCGGAAAGTTGTCTTTCATTGGTAAAGTTTGCCGTAAAAAATCATCAATCATACAAAATTGATTTCATTAATGTCGACGTTCTACATTTCTATTGATGGGTCCAAATGTTCAAAACAACTGTAGATACCTGAAATGCTGATTTCCCAATGACAATGACCAGCTCAACCTCCCAATCTATAATAAAGTTTAAATTTGAAGCATTCAGAAAAACTTGGAATACAACGACGACTTTTAGCCCTAATATTTGTTGTAAAACTTTGAACATGGTGAAAACACCAACCATTCATTAAAAACTAATTTACATCTATATTTGAATTTTAAATATATATATATATATTTGAATATAGGAGCCCAGGAAAGGTTTATGATTGGTCTTAAAAGTAAAACAAATTGTTTTAAAGTATTTGATTTCAAAAAGTTTGGAAACAATGAAAACAGGAAATTCCGCGAATTATTTATTTTTATGATTTACAAAGTTTTTACAAGATGGTTCTTTTTCTAAAGTATCTGCAAAACAAAAACTTTATAATATGTACTTGCGGTTTCTTAGGTTTCTTAAAAACTTTTACTTTGTGAAAAAATATAATAATTCTGTCAGCAAAACATTATTTATTATGTAAAAGGTAAAAAAGGAAAATAAAACTCATGAGAGAAACATCAACTATGAACAATATTTAATCAGTATCTAGAAGTTGTTGAACTACTTCAACTAAGTTGAACCACTTCCCTTCAACTTGAACCAGCAACTCAAGAGAAACGGTTCAACTTAGTCTACTCATCTCAACTCGTTAAAGGAATTGAGTCTTTGTAACAAACTCTGACTTTCTAATACCTATATTTTTTCCACCTTATGGTGTAAACCTTTGACATTTCAAACTTAGATTCTTTAATCTAACAGATTTCATATTTTGAAATATCTAAGGTCTACGGCATTGGGTTGCAAAGATTTAGAGATTAGAAAATCCTAGTTTGTGACAAAGACTCAATTCCTTTATTCCTGTTAAGCCAAAAAAAGGCCGAATCAAATCTAGAGTAAGCATTAAAAGTGCGTGGAGTTAGTACCTAGTTGGTTTGTAGCTGGCGGGAAAGGAATATCTGAGAAGGGTCCGACAATACAAGATGGAAACTAGCAAAATATAATCAAACAATCCAGTAACATTTGTGTAACTAGGCAGTTTATAAAATATTTGTGTAACTAGGTAGTTTTATAAAATATTTGTGTAACTAAACAGTTTTATAAAATATTTGTGTAACTAGGTAGTTTTATAAAATATTTGTGTAACTAGGCAGTTTTATAAAATATTTGTGTAACTAGGCAGTTTTATAAAATATTTGTGTTACTAGGCAGTTTTATAAAATATTTGTGTAACTAGACAGTTCTATAAAATATTTGATTTACTAGGCAGTTTTATAAAATATTTGTGTTACTAGGCAGTTTTATAAAATATTTGTGTAACTAGACAGTTTTATAAAATATTTGTGTAACTAGGCAGTTTATAAAATATTTGTGTATTTGTCCTGATGATGCAATGGATATTTCTAGATAAATAAAGCTTTCTAAAAAAGTAGAAATAAAAACATTAATTTACTTAAATGAAAAAATATTCTAGAATTATTAATTTTTTTTTGAGAAAATCCGGGAACAAATTAAGTTTAATAACACCGTTTATGTTTAGGTTTATGAATGATTAAAGTTTTGAAAATGCGCGAAATGATATTATGAAATCCGCAAACTTTTTTATTTTTCTTTACACTGTACAAAGAGAAAATGCTCGCAGATAAAGCCACAATTAAAAGTTGACATAAAAGATGGGCGCGACGCGCCCTGAAAGCCTAATATTTATATATGTTGCGATTACATCTTAAATTAGCGATTAATGTTAAAAACTTCTGCTAGACTTTACAGTCAAATTTATGTTATAAAGGGTTGCAAAGCTTACATAGATTCAAACTGCTTTGCAATTTTTTTTGCTTTGGCCTTTGATTTTACCATACAAAACTCACTATTCCATTTTTATAGCCCTTGACTTTTAAATAGTAAAGCTCTAGAGCACTCTTTTTAGTTTTGTTTATATGGATTAAAAATCAGAGTTTGAGGCAGTTCTTTTTTTCATTTTTTCGATTGTCTTATTCCTTGTTGAAAACCACAGGTTCCGTTGGAATTGGTGCATTCTGTAAGTTTACATAATATTTACAGAAAACTAGAATAGATAAATACAAGAGAAAAAAACGTTAACATATAGAACAAAAACAAAAATAAGGACAAAAAGGATAAAGATGGGAACGGGGGATTAAATTACGACACAAAAAAAGAACAAAGACAACAAAAGAACACAATGAAGGGGAGGATAAGGACAACCAACTAAAAACAAGTACAAAAGAGAGAAAAAAGGACAAAAGGTAGAAAAAAAGGACAAAACGAGGAAAAATCAAGAACAATGACAAAGAGAGGATAAAAACTTGGACAAAAGACAGAAAAATGAGAAAAGTCAAATATAAAATGACAAAAAAAAACATGATCGAAAGATATTAAAAACGAAAAAAAAGTAAAAGGACAAAAATAGAAAAAGAAAGAAATAGAAAAAGAAAAAAATAGAAAAAGAAAAAAAATAGAAAAAGAACAAAAGATAGTTAAAGGACAAATAAAGAAAAAGGGCAAACGACAGAACAAGAAAAAAACAGAACAAGAACAAAACAGAGAAAATGTGCAATAGATAGAACATGAACAATAGATATAAAAAGGACAAAAGACAAAACAAAAACAAAATATAAAAAAGAGCAAAAGACAGGAACAATGTCAAAAGACAGATCAAGAACAAAAGACAGAAACAAGGACAAATGACAGAACAAGGACAAAAGAGAGAAAAGTACCAAAAGACAAAAGATGGACAAAATACTAGAACAAGGCCAAAAGACAAAATACTGAACCTGCTCTGCACAATGATCCTTGTAATTCATTCCAATACAGAGAACTTTATCCATTCCAGTTACTGGAGCCTAAAAAAACTAGTTTTAGTTGCCATGTTGATGTGTTTGTATTTGTTTGTATCCAATAAAGGCCAAACAGCTGAAGCAAGAGTCTAGGAAGAAATCATCATCATTGGAGTACTCTTGGAGACTCCCTTTCTCCAACGACAATATGGCGGTCTTCAACGACAATATGGGGGTCTTTAACGAAAATATGGGGTCTCAAATGAAAATATAGGGGTCTCCAACGAAAATATGAGAGTCACCAACGAAAATATGGGGTCTCCAACGAAAATCTGGAGGTCTCCAACGATTGGGTCTCCAATTGTACTCCAATGATGATGATATTTTCCCAGATCTAATCCTGAAGTGGTTGGACCTCAAATGTTCCAAGGGAAATCTAAGAATTTCATAATGTTGCTCCAAAATTTTTTTTAAAATTCATCAATAAAAAAAGTTTTTTTTCTGCAAATTTTTTGTTTAACCTGACTCCAAAGTACAAATATTGTTAGTCCATATAGATATGAAACGTTGAGTAAAGGCGTATTTATCTAGAAACCCATTAACGTTTCTAAATTATTCATACACAACAACTTAACTTTGAAAGGTAAACTATATTATTAATTTATAATTTGAAAAGAAGAACAATAATTCTTAAAATTGCACAAAAATTTATTTGTCTAAATGAAAAATTTTTAAAAATAGCTCTTCATAAGAATTTCGTCAGGATTAAAGAAAGTGGTCTGAGCAAAACAATATTTAAGAAACAATTGAAATATTTTGATGTCCCGTTGGAGCATGCATGAAAATCTCCCATTTTACAAGATCTGTTAAATAAAAGAATGAACAATAAGAATTTCCATAATTTCCTGCAGCTGTAAACTTGGTAAATGTTAACCTTCAGAATTAAAGGTCGTCATTAAAATATCCTCCTGTATGGATAACCCTGTACTCTACCTGTGAGAGTAGAAGAGTATCAGGGTTGGTCTCTAGATGATCATCAACTCTACCTGAAGTTTGATCTGTGAGAGTAGAAGAGTATCAGGGTTGGTCTGTAGATATTCATCAACTCTACCTGAAGTTTGATCTGTGAGAGTAGAAGAGTATCAAGGTTGGTCTTTAGATATTCATCAACTGTACCTGAAGTTTGATCTGTGAGAGTAGAAGAGTATCAGGGTTGGTCTGTAGATAATCATCAACTTAAATTATCATCAAAAAAAAGAAAAAAGGAAAATTATCATCAGAAAAAAATCAAAATTATCATCAGAAAAAATGAAAATTATCATCAGAAAAAATGAAAATTATCATCAGAAAAAATGAAAATTATCATCAGAAAAAAAAAGAAAATTATCATCAAAAAAAAAGAAAAAAGGAAAATTATCATCAGAAAAAGGAAATTGTCATTGGAAAAACAAGGAAATTATCATCGGAAAAAATTCAAATTTTTCTTCGGAAAAAAAAGGAAATTATCATCAGAAAAAGGAAATTATTATCAGAAAAAAGGAAAATTATCATCGGAAAAAAATCAAAATTATCATCAGAAAAAAAAGGAAATTTTTCTTCAAAAAAAGAAAAAAGGAAAATTATCATCAGAAAAAAGGAAATTTTTAGCAGAAAAAAAAGAAAATTCTCATCAGAAAAAAGGAAAATTACCATCAAAAAAAAAATTATCATCAAAAAAATGATACTGCTCATTCTTTGTTGCATACAAATCATAAATTCCAAATAGTCGTCTCTGACTTCTCTTTGTTTGTATGTAGCCAGCTGTTGCATCATCGGTATTTAAGTCTTAAATTATAACACTTCTATGGTTGAAAATTCGAACTTATCTATTTTATATTCTCTCAATGGCGGGGCTAGCACCTATCTCCACAATTGATTGTTCTTGCAATTATGGAAAATCTTTCCTTCTCAACTCTTTAACCACTTAATAACCTACAGACTGAACTATACTTATAGGATAGGACCAAACCAAATAATTAAACATCATTTTAGCTTTTCAAAATCATAGCCGACCCAGTTTTACTAAGGACCGGAGATAAAACCATACTATTGTTTACCAAAATTAAGAAAAGAAAAACTCGTTTGGAAACTAGAAAGTTGACAATTTTTAAGTTATTTTTTCTGTGGATAGAAGAAATCATTAGATTTACTTCTCTATATGTTCGCATCTCTGTAGATAAAGTAAATCATTGGATTTACTTCTCTATATATTCCCATCTCTGTAGATAATGGCAATCATTGGATTTACTTCTCTATATATTCCCATCTCTGTAGATAATGACAATCATTGGATTTACTTCTCTATATGTTCCTATCTCTGTAGATAAGGGTAATCTACTAGATTGGTCTAGACTCTCTCCTGTTTTTATGTATGTACTGACTATTGAGACGAGATTCAAACAGAATTTATGGAGGTACGATTTATGGCCGAAGGAAGGAGGGGGGATAGATTAGAGAATAGGAATTGTTTATATATTTGTTAGGGTTTCCAACGCAAGTGGATTTTACTAGCGAAAAATTCCTTGCAATTTGAGAACAGTTTTGTGCAATTCCGCGCTACGGAATTCCAATTGGAATTCGTACTAAGTTAGACTTTACTAAATCTAATTTAAACTCGAAGTGACTATCCTAAATCTATTTTAGACTCGAAGTAACTGTCCTAAATCAAATTTAGACTCGAAGTGACTGTCCTAAATCTATTTTAAACTCAAAGTGACTTTACTAAATCTAATTTAGACTCGAAGTGATTAAGCTAAATCTAATTTAGACTCATCAAAGTGGCTATCCTAAATCCAATTTAGACTCAAAGTGACTATTCTAAATCCAATTTAGACTCAAAGTGATTAAGCTAAATCTAATTTAGACTCATCAAAGTGGCTATCCTAAATCCAATTTAGACTCAAAGTGACTATTCTAAATCAAATTTATGACTCAAAGTGACTATTCTAAATCAAATTTAGACTCGAAGTGACTTTACTAAATCTAATTTAGACTCAAAGTGACTTTACTAAATCTAATTTAGACTCAAAGTGACTATGCAAAATCTAATTTAGACTCGATATCATTTCAATACATCCTTATATATCAAAAAGGTTTAATTTTTTGACGTTTTGAACGTAAACATGAACAAAAATGAAGTTCAAAGACAATTTTGAGATCGCTAATGTTTACAAATCTAAAAAAAATTGTATAATTTGGAAGTTTTTAACTGTAAATTGCGAAAAGTCTCAATATGTTCTAGACAAAAATCATAGAGAATAGAATATATATTAGAGGGGAATTTAATAGAAAAAGTGTAAAACGGCCATTTTGTTGTACTGTTTTAAATTCATACCGAGAGATTCTTTAAATTCCCCTCTAATATATATTCTATTCTCTATGAAAGAAATACACCTAATAATCACCTAAATGAGTAATATCAACGACGTTGTCCCCCTGCAGTACACCAACTTGTACTGCACTGCTCCCACTTTTTGTAAACTGTACTATCTTCATTTTAACTGAATAAACAGAACGGAGAAAAAAGTTGTAAAAATTCTTAATATGATTTATAATTATCTCTAATAATAATTTTAAATCAAAAATGTTCAAACTTCAAAAAACGGACAGAAATACAGAAAATACAGAAAATACAGAAAATCCAGAAAATACAGAAAATACAGAAAGTACAGAAAATACAGAAAATTCAGAAAATACAGAAAATACAGAAAATACAGAAAATACAGAAAATACAGAAAATACAGAAAATACAGAAAATACAAAAGAAATTAACATTTTTAAACTTAATCCGTAAATGGCAATTAACAATAAATAATATTTAAAAATGTCTACAACTTGACTTGTATTAAAAATGTCTACAACTTGACTTGTATTAAAAATGTCTACAACTTGACTTGTATTAAAAATGTCTACAACTTGANAACCAACTTTCCTAGTATACAGGCTGTTCTACAATATATTAGTTGCTGGTATACAGGTGTCCCACAATATATTAGTTCCTGGTATACAGGTGTCCCACTAGTTCCTGGTATACAGGTGTCCCACAATATATTAGTTCCTGGTATACAGGGTGTCCCACAATATATTAGTTCCTGGTATACAGGGTGTCCCATAATATATTAGTTCCTGGTATACAATTTAGGGATTATATAATCAGAGTTTGTGACAAAGACACAATTCCTTCGATGACGAGAAATTTCAGGATATCGTAATAAATATAAAAAAAAATATTATAATCAAAGCCAAAATGTTCGGTTTTTAAAGATAAGTGAAATAATTAAAACTATATTTTTTGACAAAGCACACAAAAACATTTATTTGCTTGTTACTGACAGACAGAGAAAAAGAGAACAAATACTGTAGTTAGATCTATTTTTATTTCCGTATTGGTATTTTTATTATATCTATACATTGTATCGATATTTTAGCATTCTGATCTTTTGTCTCTGTTGTTCTCAGTCAACTCATCTTCATCTTCTAAAAGGGAAACTTGATCAAAAACAATATTTACATCTTGTTGTCGTTGTGTAAATTTGATAAATATGAGTAAAGTTTTTAAAAGTTTTTAAAAAACGAACGTTTTTACAAGTTTATTTTGAAGAATAGGGGATGGAGGCTCCCTCCTCCCTAAAGTGCTCGTATTTGTCAAGTTACTGCCAGAAGACCAGAGTTTCAAGAAAATCTTGAGTTAATCTCTTATACTTGTTTCAGATTAAAAATATCATAAATGTCAATAATCTCTTTATTTTTTATGAAAAACTTCACCTTCTTGTATGCTTTCAATTCGTTTAACCACCTTGAATGCTGTCACACCCTGAATAGACATAGATTTCATTAAACAAGAAAAAAACGTTTCAAAATTTAATATTGAAAAATTATTTTTTACTCACCTCGAACATTTTCTTCAAAAAAGATATTGAATAGGTTATTAATCTGAACTAAACTATACTATAGTATTCCTAGAAAAGAAATAAGATAAGAAATAAAAAAATAAAAAATTGATTTTCTTTAAACCTTTAAATTAATTTTCTTTGATGTTTTGTCGAAAATTAATTTACTGATTTAAGTATAGACTCACATCTAAGAAAAATCAGTCATGCATAGCTGGAGACTCTAACCCTATTTTAGTCGTAAAGGCAGCTTAGTCAGGAGAAATGTTGTTTCACAAATTATATAAATTGTGGCCCTGTAACTACAATTGCTTCTAAAAAAAAATACAGGTACAGAAAAAGAATTTATATCTACTTATTTCAGAAATGGGAAGTAACAAAAAAACTGGGAAATGCATCTAATCTATAAATCACAATTTTTAAACCGATCAAATCAATTTAATCCTTTCGTATAGATTTACGCTTTTATCAGTTATATCTCCCTTCTATTCTATACTCCTTGAGCTGTAAGTATCTAATTAAAATTCTATATCTGGGGTGAAACAAAATCAGGAACCGAAATTAATGAATTTGAACCAACTTTCGCTACAAGTTTAAATTTGAATCCCCGCTTCAAATTCTTCCTTAATCTTTTACATTGAATCGGTGGTTCAAGAACTAGTAGTTGAGCGACATAGCTCAAATTCATTAAATTCGGTCCCAGCATAAACATTTACCCTTGCTTTAAGCCAAAGGTTGAACCCAACATCTTTCATTATCTCTTCTTCATAAAATAGAAAAAATAAAAATTAAATTTTTTTAAATGTAAAAAGCATAAAAGAGATGAAAGAGAACATTTACCTTTTTCTCTTGAAGGTCTTCGGATTGATATTTTAAGGGTTTTTTACTTTCAAGAATGTGGTCTGGAAAAATCTAAGTTTTTTTTTAACAGACCGGAGAAATGCTATTCAAAATTTCTATACGATCGTATACATTAGAGATTTATAAGAGATTTTTTATTTAAAGTTTTTAAAAAATGCTATAGAAAAATTTTCGTTATGAAAAAGATTACTACAAATTGAACCATAATTTTTTGTTGAAGCTATACTCCCTTTAATTCTTCGAAACCTCTTTCTTTTCTAAAGAACTGATTACTTGCCAAAAACTCAAATTTTCTAATCTTCAAAATTTTGCAAACTTTAAAGATCTTTCAAACAATAAATTCTGTGAATTCATACAAGCAAAAAATATAGTAAAATTAACATCGTTTATAGGTTGCAAAGATATAGGAAGCATAAAATTAGAGTTTATAGAGAGTTATCAGTTCCTTTGTATTTTGAAAAAAAAAATATTAAATCGAAATATCAATCCTCCTTGGGCTCCTATGAATTGACATAGAATCACCCCACTCCTATAAATAATAGATTAAAAAAGTTTAAAAAAAAAAGAAAACATATAAGTATCTACAGGGTGTCCTTTTAATCATGCCAATTTTCTATTCTTTGCAATTTATCCAATCTGTAAAAGAATTTAAGCAATCAAAATATGAATGTTCTGTTGTATACAATTCTAATTCATAATTCTAGTACCAACAAATCCGCTAATTCAGTTATTTCATTTGAGCCATAATCCAATATGGTGTTTTCTAAAGAAACAAGATTTGAACTATTCTTCTGACAAAGGATTGACTCAGCTTTGCAGGGATTACATTTTTAACTTTACCATCACTAACAAGAAGACTGTTCCTGTTGTGAAAGCCTTCAAGGGAGGGATTGTTGAGAACGTTGCCAAGGGAATCTCAGGAGATACTCTGCTGAGGGTTGCTGATGATTTTTGCATCTAAGCCAAATAATGCATTCAAGAGGGTGGTGGCCATTTCGAATATCTGTTTTAAAGGAAAAAAATGAACCAATTCATACAAAAAAACGTTTATATTTTTAGATTAAAAATGTCACTGAATAAATGTAACCAGATCTATATTGATCTGTTCATTATTAAGGTTTCAAAATTGGCACATTTAATAGGAAACCCTGTATATAAAGAATCATCGTCAAAAATAAATATATATCTATATATATAGGGTTGTCATCAAAGGATGAGACTGTAAAGACTTTGAAACTTCAACTAACGACGATCCTAAATTTTAATGTAGTCCTTTGCCGTGAATGCTGTCTTTGAATGTTTTTTTTTTCAACAATTTGGTTGAAAAAAACATCCTAAGGCAGCATTCACGGAATTCAAAGATAGAAAGACGTGTATAGTTGCATGAGATTATGGATATAAGGAAGCAGACAGTATAAATTCTGTACAGTCGTCTCTGAAGTCTAATTTTTTTGGGTAACCCTGTATGTATATAATTAATCTCTTGGTCTTTGGTTGTTTGTTTGTTCGAAGCTTTAGATGAAAGAATTACGTTTTTTTTTAACTGATTATCAACAATCTATGTACACATATAGTATACATATATATTTGTATGCATGTTTATAAATATGTTGCATAAGATAAAAAAGATTAATCTACCTCCTTGCTATTCTCTACCCATGCGTCCATCCAAGCTGAGAATAGGTTTTCACGAACATCAGGGTTCTAGAGAGTTTAGAATAGGTTTGAAAGACTTTATTAACAGTTACTTAAAATGTTTAGATAATTTGGAAGTTCATTTGTACATTTGTATGTAATTTTATAATGCCTCTTTTATTTTAACCCTATTCCGACTGACGTCTGGTTTACCCAAAATAGTCAGGGGAGGGGGGGTTCCAGGGACCCCCCTTCCTCTACTTCCTTATTATGTTACAAATCTACAACATTTCATACACTTTTGGAAAGTTCTTGGGCTCTACTTAAATAATCTGCGAAAAATTTGAAAATTTACATAATTCAAAATATTTTTTGCAATATCAAGTTATTTAGCAAAAAATACGCAATTTGTATTGTACTGAATTCCCACCTCTAATCCTCCTCGTTGAGATTTGTCTCGCCATTTCCGGGCAATATTCTCCAGAGATGGACGGGGGCAAGAATCTCCATAGATTTCTCGATTTTTTAAACGAAAAAACTATAATTATAAAAAAGTGTGTAAGCTTTTTATTAACTGAGATGTATTACGTGGATATAGAGATTATTGGTTGATATCTATCTTTCGTTAATCTGCAGATTAATTTTCTCTGTATACGATATCCCTTGATCGTGAAGAGTGTCGACTGTGAACTTAACGCCAGGTAGTTTTGCATTAATTCATTGAAGAAAAAGAGAAATTTCAGATATCCATAATCAGAGATAAAGCAAATTCCGCGTGAAATTTAAAATTTAGGTCAGTGAGATCGAAAGCGATTGGGATTATTGGTTTTCAATACAAAAGTTCCAGCGAAAAATAAGCGCTTTTTATCGCTACTAATCTTACTTCTAGCTGTTGCATCTATTAGGGGAAAATTGTTAAAAACGAGACTCATGCTGAAGAATGTAGCATCCATACAAATTCAGAAAGTTGGAACATTCAACTCAGATTGTAAAATAATCAATTTAATTCCTACCAAATCATTCAGATATTGAAAACAAAAGTCATCGATTATTTTTCGACGCATTCGTATCTAGTTAATATTTCATAATATTTTTGATTTTGTTGCTTAAAAATAATATTTGACTGCAGGCTGGATTTTCGAACATTCCTAGAAAATATAAAAATGTCGAAGCAGGAGTAAATGTTTTCAAAAGTAACAGATCATAGAATTAAAAATATTAACTAAATACGAATCCGTCGAAAAATAATCGATGATTATTGGTTGTAATATCTGAATGATTTGCTTTGAGTTAATTTGATTTTTTATGAACCGAGTTGAATGCTGCAACTTTCTGAGTTTGTATGGACGCTCGTTCTTCAGCATGAGTAGTTTTTAACAATTTTCTCCTTATAGACGCAATAGATAAAAGTAAGAATTTTCGCCGTAAGTCTATACCCCCTTTAATTTTTCGCGAACACTCACTTTAAAGGGGTACATGCAACGTTATACTACATAGAGAGTCGATTATAATTACATCTATTAAAAGTTATAAAGTTATGTCGTTTAGCTCTATCTATCTCAATTAAAAGTTCCGGACTTTTTCAAAAAGGAAAAAAAATCAATCCTTGCATTAAAAAATATCTTATGTTGCTTAGAAAAAAATTGGTTTTATTGGTTCATTTTCATATTATCAGCTTTTCTAATTGTGTGGTGGAAGACCAGATTCAAATTGTAATCGCGTAATCGGATTTTCAAAATTTTGCAATTCTAACTAAATTTAATTTTTGGAACATTTTGAAAATCCACGACATTTTTTTTTTGAAAACGGCGAAATTTTTTGTGTGAATGTTTTTCAATGCATACAAAGAGAATATATTCACAATTGAAATAGAAGATGGGCGGGAAGCGACCTAAAAGCCTAATAATTTAATATTTCTTCAAAGTTTATAATTAAGATACCAAAGTTGTGAGAATAATCTTCTGCTAATTGCAACTATATGGGGTTGATTAAAGTTTTACAACGTCTAAAACTGTGTGAAAATAAAATTCTAAATTAGAATTCTAAAAGTGTGTTTAAAGTTTCGCCACATTTATGTAAAAAGCAGTATGGAGAGGGAGAGGGCTAACGGCTGTGAACGACTATTCATTGCAACATTTTGTCTCTCGATAGCTATGAACCACATCAATTCACTGTCCCAACATTTATGAAATTATTAGAGTTTGGCTTTTTCAAAAAAACTTAAATATACATAATAACTATTCAGTTTTAGAATTATTTTCATTAATTTTCCAAAAATAAATAAATTGAAATAAACTTGCTTCTTTTAAAGCGTTATACAGGATATCATTTCAAACACATTATTTATTGATATTTAATTAAATATTAATTTTAAGTTTTATGGGTTCATCTTCTAGATGAAACCGCTTAATTAAAAAACTGATTCTTTTAAAGCATTGAACATTTAGAGACAAAAGAACTAGCAGAACTAAAATTTTGTGGCTCGGCCCAAGGAAGGAAAAATAGTTGTGGTTCATATGCACATGCCTTCCCACCCCCTTCCTCCTTCTCCTTGGTGTACATTTCCAGTATTTATAAATAGAAGATTTCACAAAACATTTGGCCCATTTCTCCAGAAATATGTTAAACAGTGTTTACTTAATGTTTCGAAAACAAGTTAAGTATCTATCTATCTTTTTATGGTGTTGCTAATGTGGAAACCACAGTTAGAATTTAAACTATAAACCCGGAAAAAGGAAAAGGTCATCTGAGCCAAAGACTTTTGAATAGATTCGAATTGTTTAAATGATTTTAAACAATTCGAATCACGAGAAGTTAAACTGATCTATCATTAGTTTTTACCAGTGATTGTCGATCATAATGAGGTAACCCAATTTTTGCTTTCTAATTTTAGCATATTATAGAATTTAAAAAAATTAAGAATAAAAGGATAGATTACACTTTCATATAAATAATATGCTCTATTTTTACATAGCGTTGCATATTTAAAAGCAAACGGTAATTAGTAAAAAAAAATAATATTGAAAAATACCTTTTTCGCTTTAAAAAAATATCTTTAACCAGAAGTCGAAATGAAATATTTAAGTTTTCTTTCACAGATTCCAGAGACTTTTGCAAATCATTTAAAAAATATATAACTTACTATATAGTTAAATGATAATTTAAAAAAAAAATTCTCATCTAGGACATTTAAAAAAAAGCACTGGATTTTGAAACAGTTTATCCCTTATCAGAGCGCCATAACCAACGAGATTATAGTGAATAGAGTGATGATGTACGCTAATCCTTTACTAATTTTATAGGCCATAAACTTCAATAAAATAAGTTAACCTGAAAGGCTTCATGAAGATCGCAAAACTCTTGTCGCACCATTGTAGTGTCATAAACCTTCCCTACCTTCATTCAAACCTGTCATTAACCTTCCCTATCTTCATTCAAACCTGTCATAAACCTTCCCTACCTTCATTCAAACCTGTCATAAACCTTCCCTACCTTCATTCAAACCTGTCATAAACCTTCCCTACCTTCATTCAAACCTGTCATAAACCTTCTCTACCTTTATTCAAACCTGTCATAAACCTTCCCTACCTTTATTCAAACCTGTCATAAACCTTCCCTACCTTTATTCAAACCTGTCATAAACCTTCCCTACCTTCATTCAAACCTGTCATAAACCTTCCCTGCCTTCATTAAAACCTGTCATAAACCTTCCCCAAATTTATACAAGCCTTTCATAAACCTTCCCTACCTTTATACAAACCTGTCATAAACCTTCCCCACATGTATACAAACCTGTCATAAACCTTCCCTACCTTCATTCAAACTTGTCATAAACATTCCCTACCTTCATTCAAACCTGTCATAAACCTTCCCTACCATCATTCAAACCTGTCATTAACCTTCCCTACCTTCATTCAAACCCGTCATAAACCTTCCCTACCTTCATTCAAACCTGTCATAAACCTTCTCTACCTTTATTCAAACCTGTCATAAACCTTCCCTACCTTCATTCAAACCTGTCATAAACCTTCCCTACCTTCATTCAAACTTGTCATAAACATTCCCTACCTTCATTCAAATCTGTCATAAACCTTCCCCACCTTCATTCAAACCTGTCATAAACCTTCCCTACCTTTATACAAACCTGTCATTAACCTTCCCTACCTTTATTTAGGCCTGTCATAAACCTTCCATACTTTCATTCAAACCTGTCATAAACCTTCCCTACCTTCATTCAAACCTGTCATAAACCTTCCCTACCTTTATTTAAAACCTGTCATAAACCTTCCCTACCTGCATTCAAACCTGTCATAAACCTTCCCAACCTTTATTTAAACCTGTCATAAACCTTCCCTACCTTTATTTAAACTAGTCATAAACCTTCCCTACCTTCATTCAAACCTGTCAGAAACCTTCCCTACCTTTATTCAAACCTGTCATAAACCTTTCCTACCTTTATACAAACCTGTCAATAACCTTCCCTACCTTTATTCAAACCTGTCATAACCTTGCCAACCTTCATTCAAACCTGTCATAAACCTTCCCTACCTTCATTCAAACCTGTCATAAACCTTCCCTACCTTTATTCAAACCTGTCATAAACCTTCCCTACCTTCATTCAAACCTGTCATAAACCTTCCCTTCCTTCATTTAAACATTTCATAAACCTTCCCTACCTTCATTCAAACCTGTCATGAACCTTCTCTACATTTATACAAACCTGTCATTAACCTTCCCTACCTTTATTCAAACCTGTCATAAACCTTCCCTTCCTTCATTTAAACATTTCATAAACCTTCCCTACCTTCATTCAAACCTGTCATGAACCTTCTCTACATTTATACAAACCTGTCATAAACCTTACCTACCTTTATTCAAACCTGTCATAAACATTCCAAACCTTTATTCAAACTTGTCATAAACCTTCTCTACCTTTATTCAAACCTGTCATAAACCTTCCCTACCTTTATACAAACCTGTCATTAACCTTCCCTACCTTTATTTAAACTTGTCATAAACCTTCCCTACCTTTATACATTCAAACCTGGCATAAATCGTCCCTACCTTTATACAAACCTGCCATAAACCTTCCCAACCTAGTTACAAACCTGTCATAAACCTTCTCAAAAATTAAACAAACCAGTCATAAAGCTTCCTTACTTTTATACAAACCTTTCATTAACCTTCCTTCATTTTATAAAATCCTTTTATAAACCTTCCCAACTTTATACAAACCTGTCATTAACCTTCTCAACCTTCATAAAATCTTTTTGCAAACCTGTTTTAAACCTTTCCAACCTTTATACAAGCCTGTCATAAACCTTTCTTTAATTATTATTTTAGTATTTTAAATTAGTAATGACAGGTTTGAACCTTTTTCGGTAAACGACATTGTTTTCCTTCCTGTAAATAAAGTAATTATTTAAATTATATTTTTAAGTGTTTTTTAGAGAACTTTATAAATTTGTAGTTCAGTTGACTTCTTGAATGTTGATTGATTGAAATTTGATGCATTGATTTATTGATTTGATGCATTGATTTATTGATTTGATGCATTGATCTGTTGATTTGATGCATTGATTTATTGATTTGATGCATCGATTTATTGATTTCATGCATTGATTTGTTGATTTGATGAATTTCTTTATTGATTTGATGTTTTGATTTATTGATTTGATGCATTGATTTATTGATTTGATCCATTGATTTATTGATTTGATGAATTGATTTATTGATTTGATGCATTGATTTATTGATTTGATCCATTGGTTTATTGATTTGATGCATTGATTTATTGATTTGATGCATTGATTTATTGATTTGATCCATTGGTTTATTGATTTGATGCATTGATTTATTGATTTGATGCATTGATTTATTGATTTGATGCATTGATCTGTTGATTTGATGCATTGATTTATTGATTTGATGCATTGATTTGTTGATTTGATTTATTGATTTGATGTATTGATTTGTTGATTTGATTTATTGATTTGATGTATTGATTTATTGATTTGATGCATTGATTTATTGATATGATCCATTGATTTATTGATTTGATGAATTGATTTATTGATTTGATGAATTGATTTATTGATTTGATCCATTGGTTTATTGATTTGATGCATTGATTGAATGATTTGATGCATTTAATTTATTAATTTGATGCATTGATTTATTGATTTGATGCATTGATTGATTGATTTGATGCATTGATTTATTAATTTGATGCATTGACTTATTGATTTGATCCATTGATTGATTGATTTGATGCATTGATTTATTGATTTGATGAATTGATTTATTGATTTGATCCATTGGTTTATTGATTTGATGCATTGATTGATTGATTTGATGCATTTAATTTATTAAATTATTAGATTGAATGACGCAATTTTTCATACAATCATTTGTCCTACAAGAACTTGTCCTACACATCATTTGTCCTACGCTATAGGACAAGTAAAAAGTAGGTAAATTATATGTAGAACAAATGGTTGTAAGACAAATGATGTTTCCTCTCTCTTTGGGACAAATTATGTGTGGAAAATATGGTTGTAAGACAAATGATGTTTTCCTCTCTCTTTGGGAAAAATTATGTGTGGAAAATATGGTTGTAGGACAAGTGATTGTATTCAAATGACAAAGTGCCGATAAAATAAAAATGAAGGATTTACTTTTTGTTTAATTATTGCTTGTCTCTTCTCCTCTAGTTGTAGCTGGCATCTATAGTACTAAAATAAATTTGCTAGAAAATCAGTCTAGTTGTAGCTGGCATCTATAGCGCTACTATAAAATCGTTTGAAAATCAGTCTAGGGAAGATCAAGAGTAAATGAAGTTTATATATATAATTAGCTTTATACAAAAAACAAAAACTGTTTAAAATTCAGTCATACTGATGAGAACTAATAAGACGAAACACTGTCTCTATGGATAATATAAATAAGTAATCCACCTGGTTTGCTAGTCGTTGACACCCTTGCAGCTTGTCTTCTGTAGTTTTGTTTTATAAAAAAATATTATTTTGTTAAAGGGAGAGACTGACTAGACATATTAGTTGAGCTGAAAGTGCAGTATTGTAGAGAATTGTTGACAAATGTAACAATAATTCCACAGTAAACTAATTATTTGCTTAGGAACAGGTTGAGAAAATAGAAATTAACTGTTATCATCGAAATTAAGTAATCTTATTTAGTTATTGATGTTTGATGTTCACAAACATTTTCTGTAGATTTTCTGGAATTATTATTGTAAAGACAGACGACATTTAAAGAAATTGAAGAAATCTGCGAACAAAGCTTCAATTTAATTGCGATAAAGAAATAATTGATTTCTTCACAAAAGTCTATTAAGAAATATGTTCCTAAACAACTTATTAATTTACCATAGATTTTTGATTAAAAATCGATTCTAAAAACCATCCCTCCAGAATAGACAATCCAGGAGGATTTTAAAGATTGAATTTTCTCTCTTGCTTAACAATTATATGCTGTAAAACGTTTCATAGGTCTCAAAGATCTCAAATAAAACATGAAAAATGTCTCTACAATATTGCTCTCTAAGCTGTTGGCAACCCATGGGCAGATTGATCAAAATGTCATTTTCTCATATCCACAGTGTTATGGGTTCAACGTCCTTCAGAAAATGCTACAGGGTGTCCCAAAAAACATGGGAATTCAGTGAATTCGTCTTTGTTATGAATTAGCATTGTAATACCTAATTTCTAAAGCCATAACATTATTATGTCTGCTAGAGTTTATTTTATGAAAAGGGTAAAAGTCTGTAAAGATGTGTCTATAATGTCTCCGCAAGATGAACAGTGAAGACGGACTAGTTTACTCTGTTTGTATACTGCAATTTTCTTGTTTTACTTAGTATAACTGTATACAGTCAAAACATAAACAAACTAAATGTGAACATAGCAGACGGAACTCTTACTTATTACAGCTTTCTCAGTAGGTATCACTATACTAAATCTAAGAATTACTTAAAAAGACGATATCGAATTCGTCACTGAATTCCCATGTTTATTGGGACACCCTGTATATTGAATGTCGTATTCTTCATTCTTTTCTTTCTAGAATCTGGTCATTTTTTAAAGAATCAAATCAAACCCATTGACAAAATGGCAGAATCGACTAGCGACTTTTCTAAATAAAAAGAGTTGATGGATAGACAATGAATTAACTATTTGTTGGTCACTATTTTTTAAGTTTGAAGGCCTGTATAAGTAATTTAAATAAAATTCCTAATGAAATTGTAGACAGCATTTTCAAAGCACTTTGAGCCCTTCCAGTAGTCATCTTAACCTGTATACATATGTCTATTAAGATTGTTTGTTTTGCGCAAATTTAACAGAAAAATCCACACTGTACAAGTTACAAAGAAAGATGAAAGCTTGTTTGCATGTCTGGTTGTATGCTTATTGTGAGAAATGTGAAGTTTTGAATTGAAGTAGATTCAAATAAACAAATACCGTACTGCAGTGCTTCCCCATTTCAAAGGTTTTTTTCATAAACATCAATATAGTGGCTTAAAGTACTGTTACCAGAATCAGCTGGTTTCTGCATAGAATGTTAGTAGGGTTTCCAGCGATTGAAACTTACGTTTCGCGAAAAAATACGAAAATTTTCGTACCTTTATCGCTAACTTTTTTGCGGAATTTCGCATTTTGTTGCTAACATGAATGAAGCAAAAAATGCAAACACAATGCTAAATTTTTTCTCAAGAAAATTCAAAATCCGCAAAAACCATAAGTGTTTCTGTCTTTCCACGTACGTTCATCAAAATCCAGCACGCCATGAGCCAGCCAATTACATGAAAGAATCTTTTAAATGGACTGTATTTTTCGCGAAATTTTAGTGTCTTTTGTATAAATTCCGCTTTTTTTCGCAAAATTATCAAATTTTTTCACAACATGTTTGCATTATTTTTTTCTCATTTTTTCTCAAGATCTTCGCATTCCCTATTTCGAGGAAATTTAGGTTTTTTGCAAACTCGCGATCAGAATGACTCAAAAATACGAAAATTTTATCTTTTCTCGTAAAAAATGCTAAACTTTTGAGAAATTGTTTTTCTGGATGGAGAAGAGCACAGGAAACACATCAGTGAGTACAGGAAACCCATCAGTGAGCACAGGAAACTCATCAGTGAGCACAGGAAACCCATCAGTGAGTACAGGAAACTCAAACCTGTGAATCTGGATGGAGAAGAGCACGGGAAACCCATCAGTGAGTACAGGAAACCCATCAGTGAGTACAGGAAACTCAAAACTATGACTCTGGATGAACTGTAGTAGCAGAATTATATCTACATCGCTTCAGTTCTTTATTTCTTTTATTTGTTTCTCCCTTAATATAAATGTTCCATTACTTTGTTCTTTTATTGATGACTACTTGAATATAGATATCCCCCTTAAATTTAATAGTACTCAATAGTTCCTACTGACTTGAAGCTACATATAACATCAGATTTCTCAAATACTACCGTACAATCTATACCTAATCAAACATACAGGGTGTCCCAAAAAACATGGGAATTCAGTGACGAATTCGATATCGTCTTTTCAAATAATTCTTAGATTTAGTATAGTGATATCTACTGAGAAAGCCGTAATCTGTAAGAGTTTCGTCTGCTATGTTTACATTTTGTTTGTTTATGTTTTGACTGCAACCGGTTGTACTTAGTAAAACAAGAAAATTACAGTATACAAACAGAGTAAACTTGTCCGTATTCCTTGTTCATCTTGCAGAGACATTATAGACACATCTTTGTAGTCTTTTACCCTTTTCATAAAATAAACTCTAGCAGACATAATAATATTATGGCTTTTGAAATTAGGTATTACAATGCTAATTCATAACAAAGACGATATCGAATTCGTCACTGAATTCCCATGTTTTTTGGGACACCCTGTACAATGCCACCCCCTGGTTGTGTACTTGAAATTAACCGATTTTACAGTGACGAGCGTGTTTTTTAATTTAGTTCTTTGTTTAAAATTCTAAATTAAGAAAGTTGTAAGAAATCTTAGTTTCCACACAAAACTGAGTTTCCAAGTTATTGTCTACATTGGAAAATACAGGGATACCCACAACTGTTGAGATTGTAATGACGACCGGAAACCATCGAAACATGACGATCCCCGGGTTAATTTATGTATTCTGCCTTAGATATACAGGATGTCCCGCGAAACATGACAGTTGGTGAATAGTTTAAAATTTATCCTTCCATATTTATATGTTAAGTTGGTTGATATTGAAGAGAATGATGAAAAATATTGTATGCCAATTATATTATTGTAAAATGGATTTCTAAGTAAAATATGTTTTTAATGTAAAAGATGTTTTTAACGAAATAACATACAAAAAGTCTTTAATATCCAATATAATATATGGAAGAAGACATTCAAAACTATTAAACATCTGTCATCTTTTGTGGGACACCATGTAGTAACCTATGATGGCTTATTCAATGATTTCACAAAGAAACAAATAAGTTACAGGGAATCGTGAATATAAGGAAACAGACAGTATATCGTACAATCACCTCTGAGTCTCATCCTATGTGGGTAACCATGTATAAAAAAACTCAAAAACAAATGATATTCATATAAATTGCTCATTTATAAAAAAAGGTTTGAAATGTCGTCTTCTGTAAAGTTCATATTCGAGCTAATTATTTCCCAATCTTTTCCCTCTCTTTATTTAGTTAATTTCCCCCTGGTGAACTTATCTTTTCCCTGTAAAACTTTAAAGTTCAAAAATATTTATTTTGCGTACATTTCCAGAAATGTCTTTATCATTTCATCTTCGAGGAATTACAGAGCGTCCCATATGATTAGATTATCTCCAAGCTTGAACGCCAAAATACGCACAAAATACTCGAAAAAACCTAGTATTTTCTGCATGCAAATCTATATATTCGTTCTTTTAAATTTTATGAGTAGTCCCGGAAATCGTAATTTAAAACTATAACCATAGAGAATATATATATTAGAGGGGAATTTACTAGAAAAAAGTGTAAAACGGCCATTTTGTTGTACTGTTTCCATACTGCAGGTGTACTTCACATATTTATGCTATAAACGTTTTGGTCTCTGGAATATCATTTTATAGAAAATCTAAAATTATTGTTAAAAGAAACCCAAATTATGAAATAGGCTGGTTTCATATTTGACCAATGAACATTTCACAGACTCTATGCCTTCCACTTTACAAACGATGATTTTCCGTTATAACTATAAATCAAATTATGTTTTTTATTCACCTAATTCAAATTATAAAGTTTATTTAACAACTTTTAAAAAAATCGAAATTGAAATGGATAGTCTAAGGAACATATACTGTATTAATGTACTCTACTGCAAATAATTTGTGAACATTTACGATTTGTACACTTTGAACTCCCTTTCAGGCTGAAAGGGACTGAAAAAATTCATACCGAGAGATTCTTTTAATTCCTCTCTATATATTCTATTCTCTATGACTATAACACAATCCATTATGATGTGCACACTCCACAGACTACACAGACTGCTCATACATTTTACATGGATAGGCTGAGCAGGCCTATAGGCACTACAACTTTTACAACTTTAAAAGAAACACTCCAATTTTAAACATAAACCATAACGTTAATGAATATTGTCTATTCTTAAAGATTTTGCATTTCCTATTAAAAGGATCCTTAATTATTCCTGAATACAGATGTTTGCTGATTGGTCGTGTACTTGTGCACAATAGAACATGCTGTGGAAAATATCGCATGATATAGATGTTAATCGATCTCTGTAACTCTCTTATCTCTGGCACACTCTATCTTTTGATAATGTTTAAATGTAAATTTTACTATTACCTTCTTAGAACAAACTGGTTTAAAAGCTTGTACTATATAGTCCACAGAAGGGCCTCGAATTTTCAAATCATCATGTTTCTAAAAAGAAATTTACTATTTGCCACAATTTAAAATTCCTATATCTTTGCATCATGTTTGTGATATTAGATATTACAAGTACCATGAATTCTGTTAGATCAAAAAATCTAAGTTATGAAATATCAAAGGCAAAAACTACATGGATTAGACAATTTGGGATTGTGACCAAGAATTAATTCATTTCATAAAACTTTCTTGGAGACGAATTGTTGTGATTAATACAGTGAAACCCTCAATGACGCATACATCGAAAGAATTCATCAAATCTCGTATTCTTCACTTCTTCACTTTAATTAAATGATTACATGGAACTCTTTAAATCTGTTCCCGCAAATTCATAGCTATTTATTTATTTTCGCAAATACTAAAATTTACGTAATATAGTATAAACCTCATTGAAAATTTGTCAAGACGACATTTGATAAATTCTTCCCATGTATTCGTTATTAAGGGTTTCACTGTACATTTTTGTTATACATATAATGATCAAATACAACTTTTTCCAAAAAATGTGGCATCTTTATCAGAATTTCTTAATCAGAAACTTAAAAGATATTTTCAAAACAAAGATTTAGTTTTGAATCGCATTTTTTAAAGTTAAAAATCTTTGCAAAATTCAGTGCAAAGAAAAATGAATTTCTACTAAAACCTCGAGTACTATATTTTGAAAGTTTCAGTCATAATTGTTTAAGCCAACTTGTGAACATAAATTCCAAAAATTGCTATAGTCATGTATAATATATAGTCATAATATATCAGTTTTCTGTTTGAAGTGTCATTTTAGCATTTTTAATTGTTAGTCACAAAAATTATTTATCAGAGATTATTAAACTCAAAAAAATACAAAATATTTCAGAATTTCTTTTTTTTTAATGTTTGACACCATTTCTTCAAAAGAATAAAAAAATTAATTATTTTTTTTTAGGTTTTTAAAGATTTGTTTTTAAAGATTTGCTTTAAAGATTTGTTTTAAAGATTACCGACTCCATTGCACGAACACAGGCCCTCACAGTGCAGATTATGATTCTCCATCTTCTCTTTTTATAAAACAGAAGAAAAAGTAATATAATTGTTTTGTAAACAAGAATTATATTCTTAACCCTATTCCTGCTCATCCTTCGTGGATTACCCTGTAAAACACAGTTCATGCGCTAAACGGGTATGATCTGATTCTGAAAGGGATCTGATTATGATTGGTTAAATACCCCCCCCCCTAGAATTCAAGGGGGGGGTATTTACCCCCAGGATTCTAGGGGGGGGGGTAAATAACCCCAATAACCCCCCTTATGTCCGCCACTGGATCTGAAAGGGATCTAATTATGATTGATAAGAATTAATCGACTACAGTCTTGCTGGCAATCTGGATCCGTAAGATCTACGTGTTTAAATGTCGTCTTCCAAGTAAATGCAGTTCAATAAGCTTAGATAAAATATTGAACTCTATGCTCGAAAATTGACTAGCTAGTTCTGTACCAATATTCTATAATTGAACTTATACCTAGAGAAGAGTTCTATATTTGAACCTATATATACCTAGAGAAGTGTTCTTTAGTTGAACCTATACCTAGAGAAGAGTTCTATATTTGAACCTATACCTAGAGAAGTGGTCTATAGTTGAACCTATACCTAGAAAAGAGGTCTATGATAAAACCTATACCTAAAGAAGAATTCTATGATTGAACTTATACCTAAAGAAGAGTTCTATATTTGAACCTATACGATCTAGAGAAGAGTTCTATATTTGAACCTATACGACCTAGAGAAGTGTTCTACAGTTGAACCTATACCTAGAGCAGTGTTCTATAGTTGAACCTATACTTACAGAAGTGCTCTATATTTGAACCTATAACTTCCTCGAGAAGTCTTATATAGTTGAATCTATACTTAGAGAAGAGTTCTATGGTTAAACCTATACCTTGAGAAGAAGAGCATTCTGTATCATCTGAAGACTGGCAGCAGTCAGTTGTTCATCCCAGGTATATTTCTTGCTGCTCACACAAGCACTTTTCCACTGATTAACAGCAGGGGAATCTATAGAACAAGATTGCTGATTTACCGAATTATTATCCATTTGATTTCAGGTATTATTGATCATGGTTTTGAAAATGTTGTAATTTGGCGAATGAATAATACCAAAAACTACCTATATGAAATGTTACCTAGACAAAGTGTACTATAATATAAAATTTTACCTAGACAAAGTGTACTATAAGTCTATAATATGAAATGTTACCTAGACAAAGTGTACTATAATATGAAATGTTACCTAGACAAAGTGTACTATAATATGAAATGTTACCTAGACAAAGTTAAACAAAACGTCGTTTATTTGACAGCACAGGTTGGAGTGCAAACTGATTTGTTTGTTGAATATCAAAGATTTCTTTTCCAAATTAGCGATTTTTTATTTCAAAATTTAGAGTGCACATAAATACCTGTTCAGGGCTACATCGAGGCTCGACTTTCCTATATCAGCCAGACTATACATTTTTGTAAATCTTAATTATAGATTTTAAATATTTAGATTTAGAAAGTTTTATCAAATAAAAAATTGTATTAACTTGGATCAAATATCTATTTCATGTATTCACATTAACCCAATTCAATCTTACGAAATTCCGAAGACCCCAGTGCAGGAAAGGTTTATGAACAATCGAATTTGAAAAATGTTGCCTAAAAATGTCGAAATTTATCATTTATCATGCACAACTTTAACATCTGCAAAAATTATTCTATATTGGAGAATAGATAAAATATGGCGGCTTGAAAATCAACAGTCAAAGGCTAAAATTGTTACAAAAAAGTAGTATTATGTATGTGAGTGTATCTGTGAGATTGAGGTGAAGTGCTCTTGAGTTTAACCACAAAGTTTAATTTCCGTTTTCTCTTGTCTCTTAGTATAAAGAATTGAAACAGAAATATAATTATATATAAACATTATTATTCTTAAATATTGTTCAATATTTGTAACTTTTTTACTTTACATTGAACTAGAGGAACCTATAGATAGATAGATAGATAGATAGATAGATAGATAGATAGTGGTTGGTGCAAATGTTTGTTTTCAATACTGGTCTCCAGTATTGCTCTCCAATATTGCTCTTCAATATTGCTCTCCAATATTGCTCTCTAACGTTGCTCTCTAATGTTGCTTTCAAATTTGTCTCCAATGTTGGGGTTTAGTGTTTATCTTGAATATTGCTCTCCAATTTTGCTCTCCAATGTTGGTCTCCAATATTGGTCTCCAATGTTGGTCTCCAATCTTGGTGTCCAATATTGGTCTCCAATGTTGGTCTCCAATGTTGGTGTCCAATGTTGGTTTCCAATGTTGGTCTACAATGGTGCTCTCCAATTTTGTTCTCCAATGTTGGTCTTCAATATTGGTGTCTAATGTTGGTCTCCAATGTTGGTCTCCAATGTTGGTCTCCAATGTTGGTCTCCAATGTTGGTTTCCAGTGTTGGTTTCCATTGTTGGTCTCCAATGTTGCTCTCCAATGTTGCTCTCCAATGTTGCTCTCCAATGTTGGTCTCTAATGTTGGTCTCCAATATTACTCTCCACTGTTGATCTCCAATGTAGCTCTCCAATGTAGCTCTCCAGTGTTGGTCTCCAATGTAGCTCTCCAATGTAGCTCTCCAATGTAGCTCTCCAATGTAGCTCTCCAATATTGGTCTACAATGTAGCTCTCCAATGTTGGTCTCCAATGTAGCTCTCCAATATTGGTCTCCCATGAAGCTTTCCAATGTTGGTCTCCAATGTTGCTCTCCAATGTTGCTCTCTACTGTTGATCTCCCATGTAGCTCTCCAATTTTAGTCTCCAATGTTGGTCTCCAATGTTGCTCTCCAATGTTGCTCTGCACTGTTGATCTCCCATGTAGCTCTCCAATGTTGGTCTCCAATGTAGCTCTCCAATGTTGGTCTCCAATGTTGGTCTCCAATGTAGCTCTTCAATGTTGGTCTCCAATGTAACTCTCCAATATTGGTCTCCCATGAAGCTTTCCAATGTTGGTCTCCAATGTTGGTCTCCCATGTAGCTCTCCAATATTGGTCTCCAATGTTGGTCTCCAATGTATATTTAGTGTGACTGTAAATCAAAATTCCCGAGGACGGAAAGATAACCACTGACAATGTAGATTGTACACTGTACAAAGCCCGTCAAAAATTGAGAGATTAGAAAAATCTTGACTTTTTCAATATAAAGATTCAGAGCTGAAAACTTTAGATATCCTTAATCTCGATTACTTTATCTGAGTATCCAACCAATGGACACATTTTTGATTTTTTTTTCTTAAGCCGTTCTTAGTAGAGAAATATCAAAACCCGGGTTTTTAAATTAGAGAGTCCGTTTCTGTTATATAATCTTAAATGTCGCGCAAAATTTCAAATTTATCGGCTTCATTTACGCAACTCTGATTGGTTGAATTGTAAACACTATTCAAGATGCAAGTGCAAGATTAGGTTAGTCTCGATATTAAGAAAAAGAGAGGATAAAGTATTAATCTTGATATCCACCATTCTAAAGTTTTCAGCTCGGATTTATTAAATAAAGAAAACCTTTTCTTTACTGTTTACCCTAGTTTAATTTTTAGTATTTGTAAGAAAGAACCCAATATATTTGTGTTATTTAAAAAAATTGAATTTATTAATTTGAAATAGCGTTAGTAACAAAAGCTTATGTAACAATCTATAAAACGGAGAGTTTATAGTTTAATGTTAAGTTTATCCCTAAAGTTATGATATTTTAATTTTTAGCGTTTTATGTGGAAGCCTTTTATGTGGTTTCGTTTTTCTAGGAACGCCCTTAAAATCATTTTTGCAAGGTTTATAATATTTAAAAATATCCTGAAGGAAACGATATTAATTATTTTTAATTTTAGTTTATTTCGCGTTCGAATTATCGCTGTTAAAAGCTGTGAAATAAAACGTTTCATCTAAAAGAATTTTCTCATTTTGTTTTAGTTAAACCTGATAGAAATTCTACTTGTACTTCACACAATTTGTTTTCAAGTTTCAAATTACTTGTTTTAACCCTCAATTAAAAACCTTTTTAATGATTCGCCATTAAAAATTTTATCGGCTTAAAGAATAATAAGATGTTGGAGGGGGTTACGTATTAAATTGTAAGAAATTACTTAAAGGAATTATTGATAGTGCTTTAAATAAACAACAAAACTCAAAATTGCTCTCTTGAAACTTAAAAAAATATCCATTGTATAATCTACACGGCAGTAATACCATAACCTTACGTCTTGGAATTTTTGCAATGTCGTCAGACTTTTTTTATGGGGATAGGCGATTATATCAACATAATGAAGACGACTTTCGATTTAAATAAGCTTTTAAACAGCATGGATACAAAAAACACGTAAGCAATATAAAAATCTTTTAATTACTTGAGTAAACTTGTAATTCGAAAAAAAGCTTTTTTAAAATTAAGACCTAAATAAAAAAGTCGTCTTCATTATATTGATAAAATCGCCCACCACCGTACATTCAAATTTGACGATGATGTATGGATAGGTATTCTTTCATAAAATAAATCCAAAATTGTCTAAGCATCTAGCACTATCGTTTTCATTGAAGCAAATTTACTTGATTATACTAAAAAGCTAATGAAAAAGTGACAGAAATGCAAAATATAGAACTATCAGATAAATTAATGTTTTTGTTTATTTGTGCACATTTTTTTTGCAAACCCATTTTTTTGGCAAACTTGAATGGGCCTATTTATTAGCTTACCAAAACTGTATAATTTGTCTTATTTATCTTTTAAACTACTGCAGATTTAGAGGGGGGGGGTTTAAAGTACCCCAGGAAGGATAGGGTTAAAGCGTGCACGCGACCGCTTTTTTACAATCTGAAAAAAAAGATTATAGTTCAAAGTGACTTCTGGTGGATTTGTAAAAAAACGAAAAAAAATTCTTTAGAATTGTATTTTCTTGAAAGGTGTAGATAAAATACGTTTATACAAAGTACAACCTTCTGAAGGAAATTATAATTTACTCTATGTAATGTATGTCATAAAAAGCTTTAGATATTAAAGGGGATAAAGTCCCGATTCATTGACAGGTTGCAACCTATAGCCGGACAACCGATTGGGCTGAAATTGTCTGTGAACACTTATGGGTGGGTGGGGGGCGTTAAAGGTTAAAAAAATCGAAATTTTTTTCATTTTTTTTTAAATTTATAATTTATTGATTCATTTTGATAAATAATAGTGTTCACAATTTCATTCATGATAAATATTCCTCGTTTGAAATTATTTTAAACCCTACTCACATAGATTCAGCCTGCCTATAAGCAGTCTCATCAATTTTTAAGACAGGGTGGAATTTGATGTGTCGCGACGCCCTAAGCTTAGATTTCACCGCTCTAACTCACTTATGCTTTTCTGTAGCCCTTTACATGAACATTTCAGCACTATAGAGCACTTGTTTTCAGCGTTGGTTTTTAAGAAGTAATTGGCAAAACTCTCATCGGTGTTTGCTTGAGAGCGTGGGACCTTTAAATCACAGTGTACTGGTTGTAGGGGCTGTATTTTTGTCATAAAGACATTTCTTTCTTCGAATGTTCTTTGATGAGATTTTTAACCTTCGCTAGGCACTGATTACAAAGTACCATTTCATCAAAAAAGTCCCAACCCTTAAAGGGAGTGTTCGCGAAAAATAGTCGCTTCTGATCGCTACTATTCTTACTTCTATTTGTTACGTCTATATAGAGAAAATTGTTAAAAACCACTTGTACCACATTCATTCAAATACAGTTGATATCTCATAATATTCTGTATTTGATTTATATTTATATACAATGCTCTTAAACGCCAATTAGTTTGTCCACCAGGTGCCTCTGCTCTCGATGCTCTTATAATGATTCCACGAGGCAGAGACGCCTAGCTGAAAAAGTGCAAATTGTATTATGTATTTAGAACAAATAAAAAATATTATGTAATATCAACTGTATAAGAATACGTCGAAAAATAGGCGATTCTATAGGTTTTAATATTTAAATGATTTGGTTAATATTAAATTGATTTTTTACGATCCCAGTCGTTTGTTCCAACTTTCTCAATTTGTATGGACTCAACGTTATTCGGTACAAGTCGGTTTTAACAATATTCTCTTAGTAGACGCAACAGATACAATTAAGTAAGATTAGCAGCGATCAAAAGCGATTACTATTCGCCGTACGCCTATACCTCCTTTCTTTTTCGCGAACACTCCCTTTAAAGTTGTTGGATTAAAAGTAATACCTATAGCTAGATTTTGCTCTATTTTTTCTCAGTTTATATCAATACTAGGCTTTCAGGGCGCTTCGTGTTTATTTTCTATTTCAACTTAAAATTGTGGCTCTTTCTGGAAGCATCCTCTCTTTACACTACAAATTAATAAATAAAAAGATCATGGATTTCATAATATTTCTTCGTCATATTCAAATTTTATAAAAATCGAAATATTTTGAAGACATACATATTTGTAATTTTGAGCATGTGAGTTGCCTCAAAAATGTTGGGCCCGTCCGATTCGGCTGTTTTGACGTTTATTGGATACAAAACAGACAAGCAAGTATATATAAAGACTAAGTACTAAGACAAGTCAAACTTAAGTAAATTGCATATTAGGTTGAAATCAAATTTCTAATCTGTTCTATGATTTGTCAATTTGGAACTTCAATCAAATGTAAATTACATTGAGTGTCTTTTTTTTAAACTAACTTTAAATATGCCTCCTTTGCATTCTTTCCTACAACTGATTGAGATATTAAATAGGTATTATTTATAACTTTATAACAAGCTTTGTTTTCCTTAATCAGAACTCTGAACAAATTTTTTCTTTTTGATGGTATATACAGTGATAACCAGAAAACTCTGAAATTTGATGTTGTAACAAAGCAATTAGTTATACTTGACACTTATTAAATCTCAATAAAGTGAATTGGGTCTGTTTGCACTGCACAAATCCCATGCAAATTGGACTATTTAAAGTAAAAAATTAAGTCTAAAAGTCGTCTTCCTATTCCAAAGTTTGTTGGTTATCATTGTATCGGCAGACAAACTTTTGGAAATCCCATGAATAGGTCACCTGTTTTTAAGTCGTTTATCGATCTAAAGAGATATTTTAAGAAAGAAAGAGATATACATTTTAAATTTTATTTAACCTGTTGGTTTGGATTTTGATATGTACAAGTTCAATTTAAACCGTAGAGAACTGAGTGTACATAGTACACTGTACAGTCAGTTGCAGTACAATTTTAGTACAGTCAAGTAAACAATTTAATAAGTAACGAGATAAGGAAATTACAATAGATATAATACGTACAGTTGTACACATGTACACATGTACACATGTACACAATTTTAAATTTAGAATAAATAATTTAATCGTTAAATTTTGTTGAATCAAAAGTATGGTGTGCACGTGTACAAATATTGATAATTGTATAAACTAGGCATGCACCAACAATTTCTTACTCATCTATAAGGCACGGATGGTAATTCAAATATTTGAAATCCATATAAAGTATGAATAAGAGAGAAGGCACTTATTAATTTGAATTTTTTTTGACTAGCTTAATTTAACAGAAACGGTTCTTATTCGACTATTCACAACATTGTTTTACTATAACTATTATTGCAATAAATAGGTCGATCATAACGTTACATAGGTTTCACATAAATATAGGAAACGGGAGAAACTGATTAATTTTCTTAAAATGTCGCCTGTTAGGCCATTTTTAGGACTAGCGTTATTTAATACAGGATGTCCCACGAAACATGACAGTTGGTAGATAGTTTTTAATGTTGTCTTCCATACGCTGTATTAGATATTAATGGCGTTATGCAGTTTACTTCGTTCAGAAAATCTTTTGCTCAAATACATTTTACTTTGAGAAGAATTTTACTATAAAAATGACTCCTATGTAATATTTTTATTATTGTCTTTGGTATTGAACAACTTAACAAATTATGGAAGAAGCCATTCTTAACTATTTACCAACTCTCAAGTTTCGTGGGACACCCTGTATATTAAGAGTTGAATTGAAAAGTATATAAATTATATAACTACAAAATGCCTAAAATTTAAAATTTCTAAATGATAATGTTGTATTGCACAAATAGCTGGTGTTACTAAGCTCGAACAGAATGAAAATATTTTGATTTTGAAATTTGACTCCAATTCAGTCCCTTTCTTTGCAAGATGGCTAACTAACCTCGCTTTAACTAAACAGTTATTGATCTAACTAGCTTAAAATATTAATAATATTAATAATGCCACATTTAGAATTACTAAGGTTTAGAACTAAAGGGTAAAGATTGCATTATTACATAAGTTAAAATGTGCTATATAAACATAATGTACAATCTAATACCTTCTTCTTAAATTTACTGTGTATGTATTGACATGTGTAATGCAGTAGAATTGTCCAGATTCCTGGTTGTACAGAATATTATTAAAACTGTACTCTCAAGCTAAGCAAATATGTACTTAAATGAGAACATAAAGTGATAAGTATTTAATGTACAGTTAAAGTAGATTAGGAAAATCATGTACTTTGGTTGATTTTAGATTGTACTGTACTGTTTTATCCCCGATGATACAAAATGTACAACGCACATAAACATTACCAAAGAGAGTACAAACTAGTACAGTTTTTAGTGAACAGTCCTCAAGGTGTTCAACAAGTAAAATTTTTAGTGAACAGTCCTCAAGGTGTTCAACAAGTAAAGATTTTAGTGAACAGTCCTCAAGGTGTTAAACAAGAAAAGTTTTTAGTTAACAGCCTCAAGGTGTTAAACAAGTACAGTTTCTAGTGAAGAGTCCTCAAGGTGTTCAACAAGTAAAGTTTTTAGTGAACAGTCCTCAAGGTGTTCAACAAGTAAAGTTTTTTAGTGAACAATCCTCAGGGTGTTCAACAAGTAAAGTTTTTAGTGAACAGTCCTCAGGGTGTTCAACTAGTAAAGTTTTAAGTGAACAGTCCTCAAGGTGTTCAACAAGTACAGTTTTTAGTGAACAGTCCTCAAGGTGTTCAACAGGTAAAGGTCTCCCATATATTTGAGCATACTGTCCTAATGAGATTTTTTTGGCCTTAACTCGTTTTTTTACAATACATGTATAGTTAAGGAATGCAATACTAATTTCGTTAAATCATTCTAATTTCATTTAATAATTTCAATGTTGAATTTTTTACATCTCATTGCCAACCTACAGGGTGTAGAAAGTAATTTGAACATGAAATTTTTTTTAGTTTTTTAAGATAATATTTTTAAGAGATTTTCCTTGTGATGTTTGTTTTGATGTACTTGTTTACTTTCATCTTTGCTTCTGCGCATGCGCGTGCTCTACTGGATCCTGGCGTCTGCCTGGCCCGGCTGCTGCGCACCAGCAGCTGCCGGAGATTGAGCAGCTGTGGCAGCGTAGGGTAATCCAGCTGCTGTCAGCCCAGCAGCTGCCAGCTGTTGAGCTGTAAAAGGTGAATAAGCATAGCCAAAGTAGCCTCCTAAAAATAAGAAATTTAATGATAAAAAATTATTGTTTTGATTAGTTTTTAGTTCAATAAAATCATTTTTTATCAAAACATCAAAAACTGATTTTAATAAAATAATAATTCGAGTTTCCATCAAATTAGTTGTAAATACTGCAAAATCAATTAGACATTTGAAAAGAATTAAATTATTCACATTTTGTGAAGTTAAAGTAAATTGAAGCCAATTACGGACAAAGTATTATTAATTTTTCATAGAACAAATGGTTTAACAGCTGCTATTATTTTTGCAAGTTTCTTAGTAAATTATTTATTATAAAGAAAACGAAAAATTCACTCTTTTTGCTACTTTTAAGATCTGAAAAATTATAAAAATTAAATTACAAATCGAAAGTTTAAAAAACAATATCATTAATAACACAAACAAAATTTCTATGAAAAAATACAAATTCAAATGAGTTTAAGAAATTTGAACTTAATCCCACCACAAGGGAGCTTAGGCAATATTTTAAATTAGTTCATTTTTCATTCTAAAATTTTAAATTTCAGGAAAACAAGGCACAAAAATGTAAACAAACATGAAGAACAGGTTTTAGCCCTAAAATAAATTCTGAAAAAAAATCAAGAAAGATGCAACACTTGAACACACATTCTTAAATACAGAAAGCATAACATAATGTCCGTTATTTACACCCTCAACAGTCTTAGATACATTAGTAATTCAGAATCCAATCTCAAACCACGCTAAAATACCAAAAATGTGAGCTTTGAAAATTTCTACGTTAAACTCCAAAAAAGAGCAATGTTAAAAAATCCTAAATTCTGAAATTTTCTTTAACTTCAGAAGATAGAGACGTTTTACAACATTTTTCAATTCTGTGATTTTCGTAGATTTTTCCATTCCACATGTGTTGGTGGGTTTGGCCAACATTGGATAGGAAAATTCACCAAATTTTCTAATTAAGAAAATGCCCAAAAATGTGATGAATGTTTCCTATAAAATATTGATGAATTAACAACCCAAGATTACCTTTACCCCATTCAGAAAACATTAGCCGACTTCTAGTAGAAATATAACAAGTTTAGACTTATTCAGAAAAAAAGATTTCATATAATATTTGTTTTAAGTTTTTCTTCCATATTTTGACAGTCTACGCAACAACGGTTAAATATTTAATCATGATTGTGAAAATTCTCAAAGCTCTGAAAAACAGCATGCTTTGGGTAAAAAATTTTATTTTTGAGATATTTCCAACTATTCTATGCAGTCTCTCATCAGAAGAATGTTTATATTTTTATATTTAAATCTTAAACTTCAGGCTTTCCTATACGTTGGCAATGGGCCAAGGAATTTAACTTGGGTGTGCAACTTTTCAGATGAAGGAGGGGAGGGGGATTCTTGTGTAAGGAAGGGGGGGGTTATCCGGGTAAGGAGGGGATATCCAGGTGTAGACTAGAAGGGGAGGGGGAGGGTTGACATTTAGACATGCTTTCCCTCTTGTCTCTTAGCGTTACATATTTCATTGAAAGAAAATATAAATAGAAAAAATATTTGATTTTAAAATAAAAGTTTATTTTTAAAACAGGTGTTTTCAGTTTCTCTAGGTAATTTGTATAGCATATTCATTGGCCTAAATATTTCCTGTAGAAAATGTAGAAAGTTGACTGTCCGAAAATGACCAAAACAAATCAACTATTATAGATTAGGTTGGACAAAAAACAAAAGCTCATGAGTGGTTTCATTTGTGTGTACCAACACTTTAATAACAAAATTCATTTAATAAGAAAAAGAAATGTCATGGAAATGAAAACACCCGAAAAAAAGTCAGAAAAATATTATGAGAAGTTTGTTTGCAATAATTTTGGTTTGGATGGTGTAATAAAAACTTAGGTTTTTTGTTGGATCATAGAAATTGAATTTTTTGCAGTACTTGGTTTGATACAAGAAATTGGGCTTTTTTGTTGTACTTGGTTTGCTGCTAGAAATTGGACATGTTTTGCAGTACTTGGTTTGGTGCTAGAAATTGGACACTTGATGCTTGAAATTGCATTTTTTGTGGTACTTGGATTGGTGTATAGAAATTGGACTTGTTTGGCATTGCTTGGTTTGGTGTTTGAAATTTTAAGTTTTTGTAGTCCTTGGTTTGGTGTTAGAAATTGGACTTTTGATAACAGCAATTGCATTTTTTTTTCGTACTTTGATTGGTATATAGAAATTCGACTTTTTTGCAGTGTTTGACTTGGTGTTAGAAATTGGAGTTTTTGCAGTTTTTGGTTTGGTGTTAGAAATTGGACTTGTTTTGAAGTACTTCATTACCAACCAACAACAGCAGAATTTCAGTTAAAGATTATCAGAAGAATTGCACATCCAAGACGTCCATTTTGTGCGAAATATTCAATTATACCGATTTTTGCATTTAGCGGCCCAAAATTAAATAAATAAAGTAAACTGACCTGCAGCAAGGGCCGCGGCATTATGAGAATCTATTCCGTTTGATTGGATTGATGGAACCATGGTCTGGGTTACTGTTGGAAACTGAGCTTGAGTAACTTGAGGAAACCCTGAAGCAGCAGCAGCAGCAGCAGCATACTGTCCATAGAAATCAAGCAGGGGGTTCCCTGAGTAAGGATCTAAATCAGATTAAATACAAATAAGAAAAATTTTAATTGATAATTAAGGAAAGATCTTTTATATGTGATTAATATTGAACTCGATATCCATAGTGGAAACTTCAAACGATAGAGTGTTTATTTTGTGGAGACAGCTATTGCGTATTTTTGCAATCTTTCATCGACATTAGTGAGATCCAGAAGGAATTAGTTTCTAAAGATGAAGATTAGTGCTTTCTGCAAGGATTAACAATACAAAAGTTTCGAACTCGAACCCACTTACAAAAATACTATTTTGTTAATAAGGAATATTGTAAGGAATATTTCAACTTTTTCCGTTAACCGAAAAAGTTTTGTTTTGTTTTATGCAATACTAAAATCAAAATTTTAGAATATATTAAAATACAGAGTTTTGCAAATGTAAACTATCTTTGTTTTGTTGATCTGGTAAACTGAGTTTGTCAGGTGGTTAGGTTTTCAGGTTGTCAGGATGTCAGGTTTTCAGTTTGTTGGGATATCAAGTTGTCAAATTGATAGGTGTTAAGTTGTTAAGATTTAGGTGTCAGGGTGTCAGATTGTAAGATGTCGAGGTTGTAAGAGCGTCAAATTGTCAGGTGGTCATGATGTCAAATTGTCAGGTGTTCATGATGTCAAATTGTCAGGTGTTCATGATGTCAAATTGTCAGGTGGTCATGAACTCTCAGGTGTTCATGATGTCAAATTGTCAGGTGTTCATGATGTCAAATTGTCAGGTGGTCATGATGTCAAATTGTCAGGTGTTCATGATGTCAAATTGTCAGGTGGTCATGATGTCAAATTTTCAGATTTTCAGATTGTCATATAATCGGGTGGTTTATTAGGTTGTCAGTATGTCAGTTTGTCAGGTTATCAAATTGTCAGGTGGTTATGTTGTCAAGTTTTTAGGCTGCCAGGATGTCAGATTGTAAGGTGGACAAGTGGTCAGGTGGTCAGGATATCAGGATGTCAGGTGAACAGAATGTCAGAGTGTCAGATTGTAATATGATCATGTGGTTAGGTTATCAGGTTGCCAGGATGTCAGATTGTCAGGTTGTTGCGACATCTGGTAATTTGGGACGCGGCTCATACATGGTTGGTTCTTCTAGAAATTGTATTAAAGATTTCAAGATTTGAGCCGTGATTTGAGTGACGCGGTTTAAATTCTTTAAATTCGGCCTCAGGTTGTCAATTTGTCAGCTGGTTAGGTTGTTAAGTTTTTAGGATGTCAGGAAGACATGTTGACCCATATATTGACCTGTTCCAAGGCCGGTGAGACTGAGAAGGTTTGGATGCATGTAGGGCGCCTGTGCAGCATAAAGCTGTTGAAGGTAAGGGGATCCCCCAGCTCCTCCAGGCACTGCTTGTCTGAAAACAAATAAACGTTCAACTATTTAAAACTTTACTAAAAAAGGACTCTTAACATAATTTTAAGCGAGCATTTATTTATAGAGTTGCATTACCGATTCACATGGGTACCCTTTCAGCCTTTGTTTGAGCAAAAATAATGAAGATATTCTTATTCAAAACTCACCACATTGTAAGATAGAAAAACAACGATATCCTTCTCATTGTGGCTAAAATAGAGGTGTAAATGGTACCGTTGTAAATCGGACATGCACATTTTATTAACGGGGGATCACTCTAAATAACGTTGACAGTCCCTTTAATTTAATCACTAATAAGCATCCATTATGCTATTTATGTTTTTATATCTATCTAGTTCAAAATCTTTAAGAAAAAAAAACTTGAAACAAGGGAAAGTGGAGGCAATAAAATCATCAATTATCAAATGTAATCTGCAATCTCAAAACTTGCAACAGCCTAAAAAAGGTAATATCAATCTTCTCTTTGGTCAATTTCTGAATATTAATTAAAGTTTACTTTGCTGCCTTTTCTGAACCTTACTTCTACTCATCTAACTCTCAAACCTTGAGGAAACAATTACAGGGATTTTGTTTAATGTTAAAACTTAACATAAAATATCAGGCTCTAGCTAAAATATTTTGTGCAGCTAGAATGGCCAACTAAAACATAAATAAGTATAATGACTCATAGATTTTTTTGACCTTTAGGAGCAAAAAAAAGGGTTAAAAACTAATTTTATAAATCACACATTTAATAATTATAAGTAAGTTTACTTTTTAAAACTAAATAAAAATTTTGTTGATAAAATTCAAAGATTGAATTAAACTTAAAGGAAAAAAACTTCAGTTTTAATTTGACTCTTAAACACAATTCGTTAAAACAAAAAGTAAAGCTTAGCTTGAGCATAGATTTTAATCAGTTGAAACTGAGCTTAAGTTTAGTTTTAAAACTAAAGAACTGTAAGGAGTATTGAATTTAAGCTATATTTCCACTGTAATACAGATTACAGAACTTAAATCTAATCTCTGCAGCTACAGACCATCTTCAGGACTTTTTCTGTCACAAATCCTTTTTCATTTAGAATCTCTCAAACTCAACTATACTAAATTAACACTCAGCTGAAACAAACAAAAAAACACTGCAAAACTATTAAAAAAAACAGGCAATTTTAGGTTTAGTTGGTGAGGGACGAAAACAAACAAAAAACAAAACAAAACAAAAATTTAATTTTCAACCCAAACGCTAACTACAAGATTATCGGGTTACAAGTCAAGACCTTATTGTCATGTATAGCTGAGGTTCTATATGTCTATCTAGTGTTTAACAAGGAAGGTTTGATTATGTTGGGATATATCTAGGATCACAGTATCCTTACCTCCCAGATATTAGACCTAGGTTCATACTTGATCGAGCCTTGCCAGGCCCAGCTGCCTGGGCAGCTGCAGCTGCTTGCAAGGAAACAGCTGTTGACGCCCCCGAGCCGGGTCCAGCAGCTGCCGTGTACCCGGCACCACTCAAACCAATTTGACCGCCAGCTAATAGATCGCTGAAAGGGAAATTTAGAGGATTTTTTAAGGCGTTTCAGAATTTTCCACTTTTAATCTAAAACTCTGATTGGATATAATGGACTTTTGTAATTGGTGTAAAAACAAGATTGTATGAGGTTCTCAAAGGCTACAAATAGTAGAGAAGGGTAACATTTGCTTACTTCTGTACAGCGTTAACAAAAGAAAATATCAAACATTAGAAAATATTACAATGTCTGAAGTCGTTCTCTCGATAATTTTGCAAATTATTTTTTATTTTTTTTTTTGAATAATCTTTCACAAAATATGAATTAAATCAACAAGCTTATTTTATATCTATCAATTAGCACTTTTTTATTTAACGCATACAATCTTATAAGACCTTTTTCGTCTGTTGACTGATTGATTTTGTTAAACCAGTCCATTGTACCCTAATATGCCTACAGCTATAAATAAATAAAATATGTAAGAACTGAAAATAAATAAAGAACTAAATCAATTGTTAATTGAACGTAACTTGATCTGAAGCCGGGGATCAGATTTCAATCCCTTTTTAGCCACTTCCAGTTTATACTCTTCTCCTATACACCCCCTTCCAGTTATACCCTTCTCCTATACAGCCCCCTTCCAGTTATACCCTTCTCCTATACACCCCCTTCCAGTTTATACCCTTCTCCTATACACCCCCTTCCAGTTTATACCCTTCTCCTATACACCCCCTTCCAGTTTATGCCCTTCTCCTATACACCCCCTTCCAGCATCTGTGACATTTTTGTGAAATACAAATTAAAATTTAAAGATCTTGACTTGGTTTAACCTAAAGAGGGTATTGGAGGAAAAAGTGCGAATATCAAACAGGGAAATAATCAAACTGTGAAAAATCAACCAAAAATATTGTTTAACATTGCTAAAATTTGTTCCCTGTTGTATAATGGGAAAATGATTAGGGGTGTGCTAAATGTGAATATTGGGAAATTGACCAGGGGACGCAAGCAATTAAAGAATTTAAAAGAGAAAAAAAAGGAAATTTAAAAGTTATACAAATTAAGATTTAAACCCTCAATTAAGAATATAAAAAAAAAATGCAGAAGTTTTAACAAGAAAAATTAAAGAAATGTCAGGGTAGGGGGAAACAATTAGGGAAAAGAGGGGAAATATTAAAGAAAGGTCAGGGTAAGGGGAAACAATTAGGGAAAAGAGGGGAAAAATTAAAGAAAGATCAGGAATGGGGGAATCAATGAGGGAAAAGAGGGAAAAATTAAAGAAAGGTCAGGGTAGGGGGAAACGATTAGGGAAAAGAGGGGACAATTAAAGGAACGTCAGGGTAGGGGGAAACAATGAGAGAAAAGAGGGGAAAAAGAGGAGTAGGGGAAGAGGAGAGAGTGGGGGAAAAAGAAGAGATATGGAAATAAATGAGGAAGGGTGGGGGAAGAAGGAAAGAGAGGGAAGATGGGAAATGGGAGCAAGAAGGGAAAGGGGACAATAAAGAAAAGGGGGTAAGAAGGGAAAGAGAGGCAAAAAGGAAGGGAAAGGGGATAAGAAGAGAAAGGGAGGAAAGAAGGGAAAGGGAGGCAAGAAGGAAGGGGAATAAGGAGGGAAGGAGAATAAGGCTAGAAGTCCCTCCTCAACCTCTCCCTATCCAATATGTGTGTTCTCTACCTTATTCAAAGTTTTATTTTAAATTTTAAATTTTAAACTTCTGTTTGTATGAGAACAAACGAATATATTTCTATTTTCTAACATTTCAGTTTCCCCTCTTAGAGCGAAAACAAAAATAATTTAGATAAAAAGATGAAGAGAATTTTGTTTTTGTTTTGTTATGACAGAACTGCGTAGCAAAGGTCTTTTTTCTCACAAGAAAAATTTTATTTTTGTTTTAATGTGTTTGTTATTTCGAACACTAATGGAATAATATGAAAACAGTAACGGTTTAGCTTTATTACTTTGTAACACATTTTAATGTCATCCATTTCTTTTTATATTCAAAATCGACAAGGAAAAATGTAACAAAATTTCTACATAAACTAATGAGATGTTTAGGAACATAATATTCAGAAGATTTTTTTCAATAAATCGAAGTTAGAATTAATTATTTCCTTTTTCATCAGTATATATTGAATTTCTTATTCTTTATGAATTTGTTCGCAGAAAAATTCCAGGAATTCTACAGAAAATGTTTGTGAACAATGAGACATTACAGAAACCAATATCTGAATAAGATTACTTATTCTCGATGATTATGCAGAGCGTCCTATATCATATTGGATTATCTCCTAGATTTAACGCTAAAATAAAATACTCAAAAAACCTAATGTATCCTGCATGCAAATTGTCAAATTAAGCTTATACAATTTTTAAAAACGATTCATTCTCTGTGAATTCACTGATTAATTCCAAAAATCGCAATGTAAAGCCAAAACTATCCGAAATGATGTGGTACACCCTGTAGTTAATTTTCATTTTCTCAACCTGTTCCTAAACAACTAATTAGTATACTGTAAAATGTTTACTAAATTTTTCGTCGTCGTTATTTAATAATTTTTTAAAAATCGATTCTCAAGATCATCCCTCAAAAAAGAACAATCTATGTGGATTTTAAATATTGAGTTTGCGCCCCCACCTTTCAAGAAAAGTGTTTATTAGAGAGGCAAAAAGGAAGNCATCTCTCTTCTAATGAACCTACTTTTGAGTGTTACCCTTATTTAACACTTTCCCCTGCCTTTGGTAACCCCCCCACTAAAACCTGAAAACTGGAATTAAAAATTAATTCCTTGTCCCCAAATCCCTCCAAACTTTGTATAAAAGACAGTTGAAGAAGAAAACTAAAACTACAAAAATTAAAACTAAAAGCAGACAAAACGAAACGGTGTGTGGGTTAGAAATTGAGAATAAGCGGCTCCTTCAAAAAATTAGAAATTTATCAATTCAATAAAAAAGATAATTTGGCGGGAAAAATTTCTAAAATTTTGCGGACAATAATCCTGACAGCATGCCTCTCAAATAAATTGCAAATAAGAAAATGAACCCCGGTCAAAAACCATTTTTTAGATCTCGTCGGTTGATTTCCTTATTTTGATTGTTTAAGTGGGAGGGAGTGAATTATATATATATATATAAATAAAATGTTTTTACACTATACAAGTTTACTTACCCATACTGAGCTGGTAGGATGGTTGGGAACCCTTGTCTTAGGGTAGGCAGGGGTAAACTCGCTGAAATACAAAAACAAATTATTTTATCATTAAACATTTTCAAATTCTTGATTTTTTTTTTAATTGAAAAAACCAACTCCTCCTAAACTTATTAAAAACACGAATTTAGAATTGTTAAGTTGGTAATCTCGGGATAAAGCTTTGTGCTCCATCCTACGGATTAATATCCCCTGGTGGTCACAATCTACTGTTTATTTAAAGTGTTCATATTGCATATCGAGATTAAGCAAAACACATTCAAGATTATCGACTCTCCAAACACATGTTTTACGGCTCATTTGAAGTACCGTACTTATTTAGATTTTGATTTAAGAGATTCGACAAAAATGGAGAATATGAAGAAACTAAATAAAAAATGTTCATACCAAGACTACTGATATGCACAAAACTGCTAAACCCCATTCGTGAAACCCGGGTTTTAAAACTGGTTTTCATAACGATACTCTATCCTAAGTTTTGGGCTCAGAGCCAACAGGCAGTTTTGTTGAAATCAACATTTTTGTTATAAAATATAATTTTATTTAGTTTCTCATATTCTCCATTTTTTCGAATCTTTTAAATCAAAATCTACACAAATGTTAACACACCAACAAGGAAACTTGGAAGTTTAGTTCTATGATACTTTTAAATTTCGGGCTCAGGTTTTCTTTCGGTCAAAGTACTGCAGATTACTGTAGAACGCACCAAAATGTCAGTTTACAGTACACATAGTACATACAGACACAATAGAGTTATAATAATAGGGTTGGGGAGGGGGGGGGGGGGGGATATAAACTCTAATATACGGGCCATGGACGGGAAAACGGGACAGTTCGCCATTTAAGATTATTGTGCCGGTTAGTTTGTCAAGGTAAAACTAAAATAGATATATCTAGAATACACATAGATAAATAGATAGATAGATAGATAGATAAAAAAATGTATACACGTATGATGAATGCATATAGTCTCAAGCCTAAATGTTTATTAATATTTCTATTATCGCCACAGTTTTCAAATTCATACATTGTACATTGTAGAAAATAATAATTATGTAGATTTACAGAGGAGGAAAGGCCCAGGGGGGTTGGGGGGGAAACAATAGGCATGTGCTGGGGAATTGCAATATCATAAAATTTATGGATAAACAAATATAAATAATCGTTTAAGTTTCAAATACTTTAGATTGATTAATTCCCCCCTTTATATATTTCGAGGAATGACAAGAACATCTTTTTTTTAGAATCTTTGAACCATGTTTTAAAAAGTGAACAGTCCCCTCTAACCATGTCTGACTCTATACTGCTAAGTGCCTGGTGTGCTTGATTGCCTTATACTATATTTCTTTATTGGCCTTCAATCGGAAAAGCTTTAGCATTGATTTGCTTTGTTTTAAACACAATGAGGGAGTAACGAAACCGACAGAAAAATGTTTTTAAAGAGTTTGTAGTACTTTTAATAAGTACAGACAACAACAAAAACAGATTAAAAAAGCAGGTTAATTTTTTCTGTTATATCTTTTAAGTTGTATAATAATTACAGCCGCAACTCAAAATATTCAAATAATTCATGATTTCAAAAAAGTGTTTTAACTTTTAATATTTCCAATTTAGGAAACTTTCTAAATTTTTCAATGAGAATTTACACAAGCCTTTTACCCTATTCCTACGCGGGGTGGGGGGAGGGGTCAAAGTAGTTTTTCTCACATAAATAAAAAGTATTGTTCTGAGGCTGTAAAAATTTTCTGACTTTTCCTAACTACCTATAACCCTCCCTTTAGGTCTAAAACCGGGCTTTTATACTTACTGCCTGAGTGCCTAAGGCACACTGCCTAAATAACTGCTTTTTCCTATAACAAACAAGATCGCAAAAAAAATATAAATTATTTGCATTCCCTCCGTCAAAAGAAATTTGCAAACTTTTGTGCAGATTCTAAAAGTAGAGCTAAGAACTTTCAAATGATGTATCATTTGTAAATTTGGAAAACAAACACGGGATTTTAGCAGACATAAAAATTCATTGTAAAATATCAAAGGCCCGTGACATCAGGTTGCCAGAGTTAAAAGTTAGCTTAAAGGTAAATATTGTTCAGTTCTTTTGAAAACTCGAAGTTTCTTCTTTTAAGTTTTATTTTTTGTTGCCAGCTTTTTAATATGTCTCTTTTGTTTTGTTTTGAGGCTATCTTTCTGTATTCTGTAAAAGAACATTTCTCACATACTTTATATATATATATACATATATTTCCACACCCAGCTTTCCACACACCCCATACATACCATTAAATTCCCCCCTCTCCCCCCATATATACCATTAACCCACCTACCTCCCCCTCCATCTACTTGTTAGTATTCTATACAGACGGGTTTGTATCCAATTAATAGACATGTTAGCAATAGATTCAGTGTATTCCAGCCATACATCAGGGATTAGATAGATAATAGATATGTAGATAGATAGATCTGTAGATAAATAAATAGATAGATATGTAGATATGTAGATAGATAGATATGTAGATAGATATATAGATATGTAGATAGATATATAGATATGTAGATAGATAATAGATATGTAGATAGATAGATAGATATGTAGATAGATAGATATATATATATATATATATAGATAGATAGATAGATAGATAGATATAGTTTTTAGATTTAGAAAGATAGATTGATTGATATAGATAAATGTAGATAGACAGATACATAGACAACAATGCATTGAATCAGACACTTTTACTTTGGATGGTCAGCAGTTTTTTTACTTTGGATGGTCAGCAGTTTTTTTACTTTGGATGGTCAGCAGTTTTTTTACTTTGGATGGTCAGCAGTTTTTTTATTTTGGATGGTCAGCAGTTTTTTTACTTTGGATGGTCAGCAGTTTTTTTACTTTGGATGGTCAGCAGTTTTTTTATTTTCAACTTTCTGATTTATACTGTAGTGTAGAAAAAGTTAAATTTTCATCTTATCTTTTTTTAAAGTGTACTTCATTGATCGATTTTTATTGCTTAAATAAATTAAAAGAAATCTTTATTTGACCATCAGAATTTATTGCTGGAAATATCTAAGGTTTTAGAAATTGGTTGAAAAGATATAGGAATTAAAAAATCAGGGTTTGTGGCAAAGAGTTCATTTCTTTAAAGCTGTGTAATTTCGAATGTAACATGTCCAATTTACAACACTCCCCATGAAAAATCAAAAATGAATATGACATCCATGATTTCTTAAAAAGTAGATTTTCAATGATTATTTCTCTGTAAAAGTAGTCGTTGAAGCTAGAAAAACGATAATATCATCCCCAGTTGTAATCAGATAATTGTTCAGAAGATGCATCTTTAGTTTAAATAGTAGTAATTTTGGAAAGAAACCATCACGTTATTTTCTAGTGCCTATAGCTTTGCAACCTGTTGGTGTAAACCTTTGATATTTAAAAATAAGAATATTTGATCCAACAGATGTCATCGTTTGGAATATCTAAGGTCTGCGACATTGAGTTGCTGAAATATAGAAATTAGATAATCAGAGTTTGCTGAAAAGACTCAATTCCTTTAACGGTGTGAATTCACAAAATGGCCGGCAAGATAAAGTTAAAATTTACAAATTACACCCCACCCAAACACCCACCCACCCACCTCCCCTTTTATAGCTCTTTTTGTAGATTTGTAAATAATTAATCCAGTATTGGTAACTGACCCGTGTATGCACTGGGTAGTATAGTAGAGAGAATATAGTTAAAATATATAAACCCCCTGGAAACCAGGGGGACAGGAGACTACATAGAAAGCAATAGAAACAATTAATCTAAAGGATAATTTCACCCCCCTCCCCCTAGATATATTGCACCTTGAAGGAGGTTGGGGTCCAATGCTTCTTTCTATCTGTTGCGTCTGTAAGGAGAAAGTTGTTAAAAATAACTTATACTCAAGAACAAATTCAGAAAATTGCAACATTTAACACGGATCATAAAAATATAATAATCAATTTCATTCCAAACAATCATTCAGATAAAAGTAAGATTTGTAGCGATCAAAAGCGATCATTTTCCGCCATAAGCCTATACCTCCTGTCATTTTTCGCGAACACTCCCTTTAATAGGATTTTTACTATTTGTTAAAGTATGAGCTGCTATTTTATGCGAAAGCTAACATCTAAAAATTTAGTGAGTAAAATTTGTTGAGAAATTAAATAATCCGTGTGAAGTAGATTTAATTTTCATTTAATCCTTTTATTTAAATGGTAACACGGAATTGTATGAAATCATATTAGCATTACTGGAGAACTTTTTTATATTTTTGAGAAATTTTAGTTGTGTAAAAATAAAACTGTACATTTTCATAAAATGTTTTTTTTTAATAGTATCGCGCAATTTTATTCAACCATAGATCATTGATTTATGTTGTCAGTACATAATAAAATCTGGGGGGACCTTAAACACAATAGAGAGCAGTTAGTTGTATAGTGTCTAGGGTATGTTAAAAAAAAAACAGAAATAATGATAATGATAAGCTACAATGTTTTTCAAAAACGTTTAATTTTTTTAAAAATATAAAAAATGTTCTTCCGGAAAATAAGCCTTGTTGCTACACCTAGCGATTTCTATACATTGGATTTCTATAATTTTTGGCGCCGTTTTTAGTCCTTTAAAATTAAAGATTCAAATAAAATAACTTTAACAGTCCCTTTAAAGTTCTGTAATTTGAGTGGCTAAAACGTAGTCCAGAAAGTTGTGGCATGCTGAAGCTTAAATACCAAATTATTCATAAAATTGATCTTTAATTAGCTTACAGTCAGTGTGTGCTTTGATATTGATTTGAAGGAAGTATGGAGGG